TTGTTCTCCGTCTCAGAGGTGGGATGCAGATATTTGTTAAGACCCTTACTGGGAAAACCATCACACTTGAAGTAGAAAGCTCGGACACCATTGACAATGTTAAGGCTAAGATTCAGGATAAGGAGGGCATCCCACCTGACCAACAGAGGCTCATTTTTGCTGGAAAACAGCTTGAGGATGGTCGTACCTTGGCTGATTACAACATTCAGAAGGAATCCACCCTCCACCTTGTCCTCAGGCTTCGTGGGGGCATGCAAATCTTTGTCAAGACACTAACTGGGAAGACGATTACTTTGGAAGTGGAGAGCTCTGATACCATCGACAATGTGAAGGCCAAGATCCAAGACAAGGAGGGAATACCACCAGATCAACAGAGGCTTATCTTTGCAGGGAAGCAGCTGGAGGATGGAAGGACCCTAGCTGATTACAATATCCAGAAGGAGTCTACTCTTCACTTGGTCCTCCGTCTGCGTGGTGGTATGCAGATCTTTGTGAAGACTCTTACAGGGAAAACCATAACACTGGAGGTGGAGAGCTCTGACACCATAGACAATGTGAAAGCCAAGATCCAGGACAAAGAGGGCATYCCTCCGGATCAGCAGAGGCTCATCTTTGCTGGGAAGCAACTTGAGGATGGGCGAACGTTGGCGGATTATAATATTCAGAAGGAATCAACCCTCCACCTCGTTCTTCGTCTTCGTGGTGGCATTTGTTGAGGCGTCCTGGACTCTCCTAGTTCCTGGCATGTCTATTCTCGCTTCATTGATTAGAAAACAATTTGACTTTACCCTTACAAGTAAAAAAGATGGGCCATTGGATTTAATTATCTATTTACATGAATAAGCGAACTAAGCAGCAGCTTCCGGATGTGAGCCCAGTGCATCTGTTTTACCCATGAACTTGGTCTGGTATGAATTTTGAATAGATTTAACAAAATTTTCACAATCATAATATATTGTTATATCAACTATATTGGTTGTTGAGTTGAGGATGCTTCTAGACCACTAGTTAAGGCACGAAGCTCCGCGTCATAATTGGTGTCATTTTTAGTTTGTTAAAAATGTGATAAAATTTTCTTTCGCTGAGTTTATGTTTTATCCTCCATGAATAGTTCAAGTTTAGTGGAGTGTCATAGAACTCTGGCAATTGCCTTTTTCGTCCATGTTTAAGTGATTTGGTCGAGCAACTCGTCTGTCTACGAATCTACGATATGTGCTCATATTTCATAGTCATTTCTGTGGAAATAACAGTGCAATCATGTAATATCTATGTGTAAATCTCAGAAGTCAGAACTTGCACATTGTCAAATACTATTTTGCTTTCAGGTGTTAATGAAAATGAAAAGATTTATGAGATGTCTTAGGTTTCTTTGGTACCCATCCTTTTATCCTTTTTGTTTGTTGTTATTTTTCTTTTGTGCTCAAAATACCAACTTCTGTATGCGGATTTGAGTAGTTGCCTTTCAGAATGTTTACATGGACTAAAGAAGAACTTCATTCCTGTTTTAGGCTCACTGTCTGTAAGAAAAAGATCCCATCTCACTAAGGGTGTTTTTTTTTGGATTTTGAGAGGGGAAAAGTTGATTAATGGAATTTTGATTCTTATTAATCAAGAAATTCATGTTCTGTTTTTCATATTTATGTGGAGATTAGGGAAAATTTATTTTATTGGGTATTATTTATTCCATCTCCTAGGTAGGTAAATACCCATATGGGAAAAATCACTAATATTTAAATGGAACAAAAATATTTCTTTTAATAATGAATTTTTATGATTAAAATGATTTGCTTTATTTACTTGGAAAATAAAAAAATATGAATAGATGCACTTATATTCTCTGGAAAATATTTATTCGGATAGGTACATACATTAGGTTAATCTTATGTTTATGGTCCAATTCAAGCAAGCTTCGCCTGGGGTCAGGTTGGTTCAATTTATTCATCCGCTCTTGTTTTAAAAAAAAAAATATTCTCACTTCTAAGATTTTGGATTTGCTAATTAAGGTTGACTAAATTGAATGCAAATTTTGCATTTTGATTTATATTTGCACTATAAATATGAATAACAGTCCATGATCTAATAGTTGAGATGGTTATTTGGTGGTGTCTTTTCAAATACGGACGTGTAGGATCAAAATCATGGGCCTGTTTGGTTTGTTGCCAAGTTCTGCCATGCCTTACCCTAAATAAAACTTTATTCTAACAACAAATAAGAATAAAAGGAACAATTTTGGAAGAAATGAAAAATGTTATTTGTTTTTAACTAACAAAAAGACAGCATTTTCAAAAAAAAAAAACCTAAAAAACAGAGTACCATTAAAAAAATAGAGGAATTTTCAAAATTGCTTTTGGTTCAAGAATTGACCAAAATATTTCTCAACTCTTTTTTTGCTTGGTGATTCATGTTATTTAAACCCAAAGTTATGAGCCCTACTTGACATTGCTTTCAGGAAATTTGAACATACACAAGAAATTTTTATAAAAAGAAATCGGTGGATCCCACTTGACATTGTTTTATAAAATTTGAAACATATAGAGAACTTTTTATTATAAAAAAAAGAAAAATTAATGGATCATGTAAACATATATGAGATTCAAAACTAGAATGGACGAAAGAATTGTTCTCTATTTTTTTACTTGGTATTGCTTCTTAAAACGAGGGAGTCATGAATTATGTACTATGTAGGTGAATCAATGCAAAGGTGTGTGTGTGGAGAGAGAGCACATCTGCTCTGGTGGTAGGTAGTCTCAACACTTCTCTTGTACGTTGTAACCTCCCAGTGAAAGACAAAAACATCACTAACCATGGTCATAGGGAGAGAACATTTGTGATCATGGTTATAAGTGAAATATGTATACATCAGCAATAAAAAGAGAAAATTCCCAATGGGTATCCTGTACTTTAAGTCGAGTGTCAATTTAGTATTCGAAATTTTAAAATGCGATAATCTGATACTCGAACTTTTATCTTGAGATAATTTAGTATCCGGCGTTAATTCACCATTAAGTGTTATGGGAAAAGACACAAATGCCCCTTAAGTTTTATCTATTTTTTTACTGTTCACCGCCACTGTTTATCGTCTCCTTCATTGAACACCGTCCCAATGTGGCCGCTATTACCACTGTGAAACTCCTCCTCTATAAGAATGAGACCGTGAAACTCTTCTGCCTATACCTTTACAAAGCTACAGAGAGAGAGAAAAGAGTCCCAAGAGAAGAGAAATACAGAGAGAGATGGAGATGGGACCTGCAAGTGCAAATCTGCATGCATCTGCTGCCACCAGATTCGGAGGATGGAATTCTCCACTACCATACCTCTTCTCCTCCACCAAGGGAAACCCATGAACCCAATGAAGAAACCAGCATTGGATAACTCGACTGTGATGATTGATGAGATCAACTTGCTTAAAGAGAAGTTGACAGAGAAGGAGAAGCAATTGGACATGGTTCGGGAAGAGAACGAGCTCTTGAAAAAGAAGGTGAAGGAGGCAGTGGTGAAATCTTCTTCTTTTCTAGTTATGGAGGAGGAATCCGCTCTGAAGAAACACCAGATGACCTGATCACTTTCGGCTACTTTCATCTATTTTGACCACCACTTGTCTAGCATCGTTGAACAACTTAAACGCGGCAGAGGACTGGAAACACTATCAGAGCAGAAGCGGGAAGTGGAACATGTGGATCAGTAGGTACGTCTCCGTTGTGATTTAGAAACACCAGATGACCTGATCACTTTCGGTTACCTTCATCTGTTTTGACTACTACCTGTCTAGCATCGTTGAACAACTTTATCGCGGCAGAGGACTGGGAACACTACCAGAGCTGAAGCGGGAAGTGGAACATGTGGATCAGTAGGTACATCTTCGTTGTGATCTAGAAACACCAGAAGAAGTTGAGGGTGCAGACAGAGCAGAGGAGGAAGGCAGCCGATGCAGCAGCGGCAGTGTTGGCCGATGGAATGGAGATGAAACTGAGAAAACAACAAAGCCCACCAGCCCATCGCCCGACACTGAGTACAGGGTTCTCGTCCTCATGCCTGGAGGCAACGAGCCAACATTCATCGCAAAGCCCGTCTCTTCATCCAACATCAGTAGCAGTGATGAAAAGAGCCCCAAGAGAGAGAAATACAGAGAGAGATGGAGATGGGATCTGATGCCACGACTTCCATTGCTTTGATGCCACAACTTTCTGAGTTGCGGCTTGACAAATGCCCCCAAGTTAAAAGAGCTGCCCCCTCTGTTTTTCTCCGCTGAAGCACTAAGAACACTGTACATCAAGAACTGTGCTCAGTTGACTTGGACGCCGTTTTCGCCATCGCCATGTCTTCTACAACAGCTTGAAGAATTGGAGTTAAAAGGTGACGTAGGTGGTTTTTCAAGATCATTTTCAAACCTTGTCGATCCGCTTTTGCTACTTTATTATGTCCATTCCTGTCGAGTTGCAACGTCTCACATCGCTATAGAAGTTGGAGATTTATCGTTGTTATCTACTAGAAGAACGTTGTAAGAAAGAAGTAAGAAAAGATTGGATGAAGATATGTCGCACCCAGTGGCGAGCCCTTTGGATTATGTTTCATTTTAAGGATAATTTTAGAATTTTCAAAATTTTTAAATTGTACATGAGGTCAAGTGATATACAGAACTGACGGGCATTAACTGTAGGTAGTAGATTGTTGCAAAATGAAAGTTTGGATATTATATTTGTTGCATTTTAAAGTTCGGGTACTAAATTGACATTCGGCTTAAAGTACAGGGTACCTATCCGAAATGTTTCCTAAAAATAACAAAGCAGTTTATTCTCTGCTTTGAATTTTATTTTCATTGTTAGCATATCCCTGTTTTACTACTGAAACATGGATATAGATGTGCAGTGTGGATCATGTTGTAGGGTGTTGTAATGTGTTTTGTAGGTAGGAGATCCCAACTAGTGATCCAAAGCATGGTTTTCAAAACTGGATCGGACCGGATGATCGGATCAGAAAAATCAGGAACCGGTCCGGTAACTGGTTTCAGTTTTCCCCAAAACCGAAAATTTATCCAAAACCATTGATTTTGGTCAACTAACCGCTGATCCGGACAGTTAACCGTTCAAACAGTTTTGACCATTTTTATTTTTTTGTCAGAACAGACTGATCATTCAGTTTGAATGGTCAAACCGTTCGACCCATTAACCGGACCCCTGACCGATTCGGTCTCCGGGTCGGTTATAAAAACCATGACCCGAAGAAAGTATTAAGAAGGTTGCAACTTGAATGTGGGTGGACTACATTTATATGGGTCTAAGAGATGTGGCCGCATATTTGTCGGGAAATTAGATTGCGAAATAGATCCATTCTAATTTTTAAGTCAAATTGTAAAATTAACAAAATAAAAAATAGAAGACTCACTCTCCAACTTCTGCATGATGCTTGATGTATGCCTTAACCCAAGTTTAAACACATTCTAAATTCTTTTGTATTTTATCAACTTTTAGGTCATTATCTAAGGAAAAATCTATGATGCAGAAAATATATGATATGGAGAGTTTTGATCAATCAAAATTCACCCATGAATTTTGATAAATAACATCTTATTAATTTGCTACCACGTTTATGATTTCAATTTATTGGTCAATTGTTTTCCTATATCGTATATTTTCCATATACCTCTTCACTTCTCCAATTCTCTTAAACTTACCCTGAGTTTTCAAAACCTTTAAAGATCCCTGCAAATAATTTTTGTTATCTAAAACTTATCTTCCATCATTTTGTTGTTAGTGACCATTGATGGAAGTTGTGCAATTAGGCCATTAATTGTTTTTAATGACCAATTTAACCTTAATATTTTGTTAAATAATTGTTAGAAAACAAGTGAAAAATAGAAAAAAAAATCATTTCTAGATGCTGCTGGAAGAGTCATCTCTCGGGCCCCCTAATTGCATTTTCGCCTAAAAAATAAAAAAGTGATGAACCCCCAAATCTCAGATAGAGGGGTAGTATGATAAATTCATTATTGCACAATTTTGTTTATGGCAAACTCAAAAAGAGGGATAATACATAAAATTTACAATGGTAATTCATCTCCTAATCATGGCTTTGAAAACCGGACCGGACTGGACAGTCAAACTGGTTGACCCATGAACTGTCCAGGTAATCGGTTCTTTTTCACCCTAAAACCGCTTTTGAGCCAAAAATAAATAAATAAATAAATATTGGCTTGATCAGTGACCTACTGACCGGGGTGATCAAACCATCGATCTAGACAATGATTTTTAGTCTCTTTTATTTTAATTATTTTTTAAATCAGAATGAACTGTCTACTTGAACCGAATAGTCAGATCATTCGACCTGAGTGTCACCAAAACAATTCTGTATCCAGTCCTTAATGGTAGATCTTTGATAGAGGAAGGTTTTCAAAAGTTAGAATAGGTGTAAAAGAAATGTGAAAAAAAGGTGATAAAGTTTTAGATAAGCAATCGTTATTTTATTTATATTTATATTTTTTTATTTGATATTATATGTTAGAGGCAAGGTTCAAAGTATCAGAAACACAATGTGTATCAGAAAGACAATTTTAAGAAATATGTCAAGATACGTTTTAGATAGCATGTATACAGACGAAAAATCAAGATACGCATAAATATGATAGGAAATTCAAATAGTTCATAAAAATATATTAGTAACAATACTTACAAGTTTATTATAAATAATTCATTTAAATGTAAAAAACCATAATTTAATGTTTATATAAAATGTGACATATCAAGATATAATTAATAACCGTTGAAAAATGATGGAATAACTAAAACGTGAAAAAGTACAAAAAAACTAAAATGTGAATGTATATACATCAGTTTTCAAATAATCAATATAATTTATCTTAATATTTATTAGTATATAAATTTTAATAACTAATTTCAGCATTTATTAATAAGCATCACTAAGAAAAGATAAAATTTACTTCAAACTAAAAATTATATAATTGTAACAAACAAATTGGAGTGGCTTAGTGGTGAAGGTATAAATCTTGTTAATTGTTATTGTTAACATTTGTAGTTTTTTTATACTAATAAAATGAAATTAACTAGAGAGAGGATCATTAATTAATGAGAGGATTGGGATTAGACGCTAAAATTCAAATTTGAATTTGAATTTGCTTTAAATATAGGACTAATTAACTAATTAATGAAGGAGATGTTAGACATAAACATATGAGTAAAAAACTATATTAATGAGAGAGATTCGGTATTAAATATAAATTAATCAAATTAATGGAAGAAGGGGAACTGAAACAAAAAGAAATGGAACAAATAATTTATACATGTTCCATGTATCGAGTTCTTATCGGAATATCAATCGATATGGCCCGATACATTACAATATTTTAAACCTAGGTTAGAGGTTACATAAATATAGGAGTAAGAAACTAAATTAATGAGATAGATTCAATATGAAATATAAATTAACAAAATTAATGGAAGAAGGGGAACTAAAACTACTCGGTTTGTATCGGCTTGTTTTGGGCTCGTACCGACCGATACATATCCAAAACAACTCATACCAACCAATACATACGAAAAGAAATGGAACAAATGATTTATACGCATTCCATGTATCGGGTTCTTATCGGAATGGTACGTATCGGCTGATACGGCCCGATACATTACGATATTTTAAACCTTGGTTAGAGGTGATAGAGAATTAGGGAAATAAGAGAGTATGCTATGCACATTAAGATTAATAGATTTTATTTAGGGTAAATTTCTTAAACTACCCTTATGGTTTAGCTAATTGACTAACTATACCCTTATTGTTTGAAATTGATTGATGCTACCCTACTATTTTTGACAATTGACTAACTCTATTCTTACTGTTAACCTCCGTCAAAACCCATGCAAAATGCCTAAACTACCCTTTTATGGTCCAAAATATCCGGTTTTGCAATGGCATCTAGAGCCCTGCGGCTTAAAAAATGCATAGCTCAAAGATGACCCTACAACAAGACTGTGAAGACAATCTTTAGTCTGGTGGAATCTCTTAGGTCTTTTTTCTGATCTCGGGCCCCTATCAAACATAGGTGGCCTCCTTTATCAACTAGTCAACGACGAAATCAAGAGTTGTCGCTACAACTTGGATGGTCGGTTTCAATTGGAAAGGGGAGACAAAACATAGGAGAATAGAGAGAGGAGGAGGAAAGAAGACGGGAGAATGGTCAGGTGATTCCGCCGCTGGGTGGAGCTATAAGGTAGTGTTGCCGCCGTCGCCCAGAGGAAAAAGAGAGAGCAAAGGAGAGATCTGAGTTCATAGGGGGTTGCCGCCGCCGTTGCCCAAAGGAAGAAGAGAGAGAAAGAGAGATCGAAGTTCAAAGGGGGTTGCCACAGCCGTCGCCCAAGGGAAGGAGGGAGAGAGAGAGAGAGAGAGATCAGAGTTCAGAGGGGGTTGCCGCCACCGTCACCCCTGTTCAGTTCGCTCATACCACTTTGGTTGCCACCACCATCGCCCCTATTCAGTTCACTCGTTCTCTACTTCTTCAACAGAGCACCCCCACTGTTGAAGAAGAAAGAGGATGAAGCCAGAAAGTTCATTCTGAGGAGCTCCAATGGAGAGCACTTCGAGGTCGACGAGGCCATCACCCTTCAACCTAAGATGATCAAGCAAATGGTCAAAGATGGTTGGTCGAAGAAGAAACCCCGCTGAAAGAGAAGGATTAATAGATACTCCTGCGAATCAAAAATTTGAAAGATACCAATAGCAAATAGTAGAGATTGGCTTTTTCTTTTTGGTTATTGATTGTGAAAAGATCGGACAAATGCTTTAATTTTTTTTTTGTTCTTTTATACAGTGTGAATACCATGCAATTGCTCCCCGGTGATCTGGTGTTAACGAAGATTATGGGAGGAAGATAGAGGGAAGAGAGAGGTAGGTCAGAGGAGTAAGGGTGTGCCGAGTTGAGAGGAAGGAGACAAGAGGCATTGGGTTGTAAAAAATTTTAAATGTTATGTGGTGTCACGTGTGTACGGATTTTGATGAAATATTAACGAATGTTAATGATAATAGTAGAGTTAGTCAATTGTCAAAAATAGTAGGAATAGTATTAATCAATTTTCAAATAATAAAGATACACTTAATCAATTAACTAAACCATAAGAGTAGTTAAAAAATTATCCTTTTACATAACATTTTTTATGTAAAAGGATAAGTAAAAGGACTGAATGAGTTGTTGGCCCTGACTACCAAAGTTTTTTCCTTAATTACCGAGTTATTGGCCGCCAGCGAGCACTGAAAAAACAAATAATAAAACTAGTGGGTCATCGACAAAGCAATTATTGTGCATATCATCTTTGCAAACAACATCTGAAGTACAGTTTTGATAAATGAAATTTACTCAAACTACTTTTTTTATTTTTTTGTAAAAGATGTTAAATACTAATACCTTTCCTTTATTTTCAAAATAGACTAACACCTCCCTTATTGGGTGATGTCATAAAACAAATACCTTCGGTTAAATTTTATTAATATTTTTAAAAACCCAATATTGTCCCTCTATGCCATACATGGTTTGAGTTTCTAAGAAGAAAAAAAAAAACAAAATGAATAGAGATGAAGGAAAAAGAAGACAGGAGAGAGAGAACAAACACCCATTAAGAGGAGTATGATTCAGTACTTCTCTGTTTATTTCATCCAGATTTGGTTTTCATGGAGAATGAAAATTCTTTTTTGGATAAATGTTCAATTAAAATCTCTGAGGCAAGAAACTTTACAGAGGCAAGTTCTTTTAGAGCTTGTCATCAATAATCACTCAATGCATGTTGATGTGTTTAAATTAGATTTCGCATCAAATTATCCAAAATATTCATGAGATCAATTTGTGAATAAACTTTTGTGAGCAGCCCTTAAAGTGATTCCAAGCTACAACAATCATTCTTGTTTCAAAATGATGAAAGCTAGTGGTACTCATTCAAAATTTGAAGGATAATAAAGGACAAAAGTGTCTTTTTATCAATTATGTCAAATATAACGGCATCTTATTTATATGGGAGGTTTAAGTCCTATTAGAAATTATATGGGAGGTTTAAATATTTATGACAAACCTCAAGGCCTTAGGTTTAAGTCTTTTGCCTTTTTTGGTAATAATATCTTTTGCCTTTTTTGGTTTCGATTTGAACATATTTTTAATGTGAGAAAGTGGAAAATTTTCTTATTTTTTAGTTTAAAATATTTTATATTTTAAGTTTAATTTTTAATAATATCATTATAATTATTGATTTATTTTGTTGTTTTAAAATTTTGTCCAATCAAACCCTGTTTCCTAGTTTAATAAATTAGTTCTGTAAACCATAAATCAAACCAAACCGATACGAGCTGAATTGATCGATTTGCACTGATAAGCGATCGGTTTCGGTTGGTCAACGCCCCAACCCGATTAGGTAGGTTCGATTGGCCAAATAACCTGCAATCGAACCGAACCGACCAGTCGACGCTCCTCAGTCTGAGACGAGGTTAATACAGATTCTGCGGACAATCATCAATAGCCCGTTATTCCTCAGTGCTGAAGACGCTTCCACTGATTCCCGAGTTTTAATTTTCAAACAATTCCAGGCTCCTGAGTTGAACTTCTGATTCTTAAATGGCGTTTTGAGAGGTGATTTTATATCTTGCGCCCTAATTCTCATCTTTACCAGTTTTTTTGTTTTGTTATTTCCCCTTTTGTTGATTTTCTAGAACTCGTTCGTGTTCTTTCTGAAATTTGTGATTTACGAATTTGTTCTTATCGAGGGTTAATTGCATATTGGTAATTGATTTCTTGATTTGATGTTTTTCTACGTATTAAGATGAAGGCAAGTTGTCATGAATCTAATCGTTTGCTCTCTGCTTCAAACGGTAGGGTTCCTGGGGAAGCAGATTTTTTCCTTTTACATCAACAATATCTGGTCCTTGGACTTTTTAGACATAATTTAAAGAAGCAAAGTATTCGAGAACCAACTTGAACTGCTAGTTCATTCAAATGGAATCCTAGTCCTAGGTCAGCCAACAGCCTTGCTGACCTCTGGCAAGGGAGGGAATTGTAAGGATTTAGTTTGTGAGCCCCAGGCCCGGGGATGGATTTGTAACTACGGTGGTTCAAATCCACGAAAACAGTTACCAGTTTGTAGCCTTGTCCATGGTTGTATTTTCTAAGATAATCAGATTAACTTGCAGAAATCGTTGTGGCGGTGTACCTTCGTGGGGGCAGCACAGTAAACACCTTGTGTCCTCCCTAATACCATCACTTCCATTCATTTTTTCTTAGTGAACTTACTTTTTCTTTCTAGTTGTAAAACTTTTCGATAGGTAAGATGGGATCAAAGCCAGAAATCTTCATGTTGCAGCTATTTGAACTATGATCAATCTTATTTGGTTTGAATTGTGTGTACGAGTTTGTTGGGGAGGGGGGAGGGGGACGGATGGGATTGAAGCCTAGTGTTAAATCTCTGTTATCGAAGAAGCTATTTGTTGGGAGCTTTTACTAATTGCATTTCAACTTAGGTTTCTACCTGAATGGTTGTTTAATTGTGACAATGGAGTTAGTTTGTGTCCTATTTGATCAAACACTAAACATAGTTATCGGCAAGTGTAGAGGGAAAAACATTGAATGTTCAACATGGAAATGATGAGCATTATTTTGATAAATGATGCAGGATCAGTTGAATAGGTTATATTTTCTTATGTCAAAGATACAAGGTTTTTACATGCAGTAGGCTTAACTTTGAGTAGCACTTCAGATATTATCATTATTTAACCTTACTTATTAATGGCAATTCTGCCAATCTCTGAGGTGATACTGTGGATGATGCCATGAGTGAGAAGAATTGGAACTGTGAATCATGATAGGTTCATTGTAACAGAAAATTCAAGGATAAGAATAGATGACTCCTGGACATTAACCTTCTGTGTTCTTACAGCTAGTTTTGAAATGAAAATAAAAACAATGAAGTAGTAGTTCCAGGCTGCTTGTTGGTTAAAATGTGACAGAAAATACTCTAGGAATAACACTCAGAGTTTGCCTCTAAATTATGTTTAATGAAGAGAAGTATGACATAGTGACCTCATTCATTGCATTCACGAAGGTAGCTTAGCTAAAAATTAAGTCAAAAAACTCTATGGAAAACTTCTATTGCCCCATATTCTGCACTCCCAGCTAGTACACCTTACTGAACTTGAGGGTGTTTGTTGTGGTCGCATGGCCACATGACCATAACTTACAACTCTCTTGCATAATAATCATATGTTTTAGAACGTGGAAGTGTGACACGAGGTGTTCCACTACCTAGAGGCGTGATGTTCAGAATGTAAGAGGCATAACCTCCTGAACACAAGGAGGCTTGTGCTTCCTTAAGAGGAGGGGGAGGAGGAAGAAGAGGAGGGAGGATCTCATTTTTCTTTGTTTTTAATAAAAATCACTTATATTAAGAAGAATGAAGATGCATAACACTAATTGGGGGATCTGGGGGGAGAAGCCCCCCAGCCAAGGGGGTCCGGGTGCTCTACTCTGCTCTCTCTCTCTCTAATTAATCTTTCTTTTCTCTTTTTTGTTCTCTTTCTTTCTTTTTTTCTTTCCCTTCCCTTTCTTTTCCTTTTCCTTTTCCTTTTCCTTTCTTTCTTTTTTTCTTCCTTTTTTCTTTTTTTTTTGTCTTTTTATATGAGGTGTGCGAGGCACATGAGGCTTCAGTTGTATTTTGCCACACCTTTTAAAACACTAATTGATATTTTAAATTTCTTTTTTAATGGATATTGCTATTCTAATTATTTTACTAGAATATGACTAGCGGTGACAATTGGGCGGGTTGGGTTGGGTTGAGCTTCAACCCAACCCATCTAACCCGCCAACCCATTAATGACCCAGTTATATAAAATTAAATGGGTTGGGTTCAACCCAAACCTGCTTTAACCCAATCACATTACATGCATGTTATTTTTACACAAGCTGCGAAGCCATTTGACTATGTTCGGGTTTCAGGTTTGATCGAACCACTTAGGTTCAAACCAGTCAGACCAACTTGGACTATCTAATTGGATTGTCTTTGAGCTAATCACATCAAGGGTGGTTGAACCGTTTAGATCTGGATCAGTCCGGTCTGACTAGACCAGACCGGTTCAATCAATGGCCGATTGACATGGACCGGCCAATATCAGGTTTGTGCACGGGTTTGGGACCGAACCGACTGGCCCCGAAGTGGGTCAAGAGAAGTAAATCGGACCTGTCTGGATTCAGGTCGGGTTGTGTGGATACAAGCCAGACCAGGGTCCTAGTCGAACCATCCCGCACCGTGCCCGTTTTGAATTCTAGTTGACCCGGATCGACCTGCCCTGGGTCAGTCGGGTTTTGGACTGGGCTGACCACCCTAAACAAACCAAACCGAGATTATTGGGTCTGTTCATATTTAGACCAAGTTGAGCTGGTCCGGACTCAGGTCAAGTTGATTTGGGTTTATGTTGATTTGGGTGAAGTGTGTTGATTCGAGACAAAACTAATTTTAGTTAATAATTAATAGAAAATTAATGCATTAATTATATATTATTTCATTCAAATGAAGAAAATTTAAAAAAATTGGCTAAGGAATGAATACTTATATCTTTAGTGGTTAACCCAATGGGTGATCAACCCATTTCCAACCCGCCAAGTAAATGGGCGGGTTGGGTGAAAAATTGCCACCCCTAAATATGACAACTAAGACACTAACACTGCACAATTGCTTTTAAGGAAATATTTACCTAGTTAAGTAGACTTATCTATGGTATTCCAGGATTGTTATCTATGGTATTAAGGATCAGTTGATCCAGTCTTTCATTGTTCTGCTTTCTTATAAACCTGGATAAAGGAACTTAGAAACTACATTTTATCAGCATATAATAGGAATTTTGGTAATATTATCATTCTGTTTCTATTTGGAAATCTTCCATTATAATTGTTTTTTTGGTCATCTTTGCATAATAAAATTTTCTTACTTTATTTTATTATTTCAGGAATCCAGTTCCAGCCAAATCGTCTGAAGTTTCAAGTATTCAACCAACCCATGGCATCCTTTGCACAGCCACCACAAACCATAGCAAACATCAATATTGCCCAACGCCGTCTGAAAAGCCTGCCTTACAAGTCATCAAGGGCACTATATAGATTCACCTTTCCCCCAATTTGCCTGAAACTGCAACCTATTTTTTGTACAAAATTGTCCTCTTGGGAACCATCTCCTTCAATCACATATGTTCATAATGAGGAAACTGATGACAACTTTTTGAAGAGTGGTAGCAACATATTTGAAACCATGACTGCTGAAAGTACAACTGAGACTTCAATTCCAAATGATACAAGTGAGACTTCAGCTCTAAATGATAGAGATGGTGTTCTAGATGCAAGTAATCAACTATCCATGCACTCCCAACTTCTTAAATGGCTTATGTGGCTTTTGGGTCCGTCTGTTTTACTTGCCACAGGGATGGTGCCCACCTTGTGGTTACCGTTGTCTTCTGTATATCTTGGCACTAATGTAGCTAGCTTGCTTTCATTGGTGGGACTTGATTGCATCTTTAATATTGGTGTGACCTTGTTTCTCCTCATGGCTGATGCCTGTGCTCGACCAAAGAGTCCAACCCAATCATGCAAAAGCCAGGCTCCTTTTAGTTACAGGTTTTGGAACATGGCTGCAAGCATCATTGGTTTTGTTATCCCATTGGCAATGTTCATGGCCTCACACAAAGGTTTTCTCCAACCGCAACTGTCTTTCATCTCATTCTCAGTTCTATTGGTTCCCTACCTTCTACTCCTGTCTATACAGATGCTGACAGAAATGCTGACATGGCACTGGGAGTCACCAGTGTGGCTTGTAACCCCAGTTGTATATGAGGCTTACCGGGTGTTGCAGCTTATGAGGGGATTGAAGTTGGGGGCTGAAATTGTTGCACCTGCTTGGATGGTTCATACCATTAGGGGTTTGGTATCATGGTGGGTGCTAATACTTGGAATGCAGCTCATGAGGGTCGCTTGGTTTGCTGGATTCACTGCTCGAACTCAAAAACAGGCTTGAATATTTACCATATTTGGTATCCTCGATCTCAATGATGGATTTATATGCCCCCAATGAAGATATATAATAAATAATATAAGTATTTTTTTTACAGTACAGTACAATTAAGTAACATGTATAGATAAATGATCTTTCCGCCCCCGTTTCATTAGCATATTATTAATATTCCCTTTCTTCGTTGTATACATGTAAAATAGAAACAGCAATGAATGAACATCCTTTTCCCCATTTCGTCTTTAGTAATACATGCAGGATCAGTGATTCTGGTTAGATTTGTTTTGTGTAACTGGCTTATTGAAAATAGCTGTTTGTCTAGCTGCATGATCTATCTTCTTCACCTTGTAGTTAATGGCCATATCCCATATGTTGGACGGCCACCAAACGATCAAGAGTGTACTTGGTTTGTGATTGCATTCATGTTTCATCTAGTTTTGGAACATACTAGAATTGAAATAACTGTTCATTTGATTATTGCTCGTTCTGGAACTGGCAACACATGGTTCCAGAAGCAAAAGATTGGTCATTTTTGTACACAACTGTTGATGGTCTTCTTAACTAGGCAACATGATTTTGCTTATTAATGTTTCTAAGGCTCAGTTTGGGAAGAGTGCAGATACAAGATTTAGAAATACCATAGGTAAGGTTTTGCATTCAACATATATTTGCGCTCTTCCTAAACTGAGCTTAAAAAGAGGACAAATACAAATATGTAGAGTATAAATACATACAAAATAATGCAAAATACAAGGTTTTGCACTCTATATATTTGTATTTGTATTCCTTCCAAACTGAGCCCAATGATCATAAGAGCAAAAGTAAATAGTGACGCAGGAGTCATACAATCAATACTCACATATTATGTTCAAGTTTTGGCAGTGTATTGAAGGGAAAAAAAAGGTTTTGGCAGTGTATTCGTTGATACATCATTAACTTTTTCTCTCTCATTAACTTCTGTTTGAGCCATAATTTTTGTAACACAGGAGGATTTGAAGCCAGGCCTATAGGTTACAACAAGCCTATCAGTCCACTTTGAAGAGGGCGGTTAATGTAAGGCCTGTCTAGTGTCTTTCTCTTAAAATAGGTCAAACTTCGAATCTCCAAGCACTTTGTGTATCTGTATCCACCAATACGACACATATCAACTGATAATGATACAGGCCAATACTTTGTAAAATTTTGCCCCTTGGTCGATTATTAATTTTGAATCTAAATTCTATGATTGTGGTGTTGTGATTTAACATAATAGCTGTTTAAAGTTTAAACATTCCTTAGATGTTTTAAGAAATTATCTCCTTCTAAATTTTGTTTCTAACACTTTCATCGTCTTCTTTCTGATAAGTAAGATTCCTAAATCTTTCTACCAATTGAACAGTAAGGGAAAATGCTATGATGATGTGGATGAATTTATCATGAAAATAACTTGACTTTGATCTATCTGATGTTAGGTTTCTCAAGAATCATGTTTTTGGATTTGCTATATAACAAGATTCAAGGAAGTATTCTGGAACAGATCACCGGATTGGATAATTTGCAATGGCTAGAACTAGGTTATACTGGGTTACAATGGGAAGGTGGAGCAGTTTGATGCTCCATCGTTCATCCAAAACTTTTGTTTGTGGTGGGGAGCATCTCTCCCTGACTACAAAGAAGAAATCCTAACCGTTATTCCTTGTTTTGATGATGATGATGATAAATAGAATGCTGTATACTAGAAATTTTAATTTTAACATGTTCATACTTGCATCAGCTACACCTACCATAAGAACGTGCTCATTTTGTGAAAGATAAAAAAAAAGGAGAGAGAAATCTAAATGACATGTTTTGAAAATTTAATAAATAGCAAAGGGCATTTATGACATCAAAACGCAAAGGACAAATGGTCCAAAACGTTTCACTGACGAGTGGTCTATTTGTGTCTGGAACCACCTCACAAGTAGTTAGTGTAGGGAAACCTCATGGTATATTTAAGTAATTAATTCTTAAAAAATTATTCCTCTATATCAAACCAAATGCTCTCTTATAGTCCATATAAGCATATAAAGCTACATAAGGTCCATTTGGTTCATGGGATAGGAGTTTGGAATTGAACCATGATCAAAATTGCATTTCCATTCCTGGTGGAATCATGGAATGGCATTCTCCATTTGAGGAAATAGCCATCCCCCTTTCCATTGGAAATGAGAATCCATTCCATTTGATTCTGATTTCCGTACGAACCAAAAAGGCTGAGGAATAGACTATTCCATTTCCAATTCTGATGGATTTTGATCCCATTCTAATTTCAATTCCAACTGTGAAACCAAACAGACTCAATGCAGTTTTGACATTAAGATAACTGAGCTTATTTAAATGTGGATAGGGGCACAGATGGGCCAGACCTGGGCCTGCCTTGTTAGGCTCGCTTGACCATAATTAGCATGATATAATCTCTGTCCACTTTGCAAATACATGCATTTAAATTTTCATCAATGTATTAAAATATTAATGTCTTAAGTTAATTTTTTTTAAAACAGTTTAAATTAAAACTTAAATATTGAAATAAGAAGATTATAAATATCTAAATTAATAATAAGAGAAAAATAGACAATACAATAACACAAATAATAAAAGTAAAGTAAATTTTTAATAATTAATAAAAATATTATTATAATTATAAATAGAACAATTACAGAATTAAATACAGTTAACTAATTAACTAGATTTAAATGCTATCTAATAATTGCTGTTATTCATTAAATACTTAATTAATTATAGTTATTTAGAGTTGATAATGAATGAATTAATTAATTAATGTTAAAAAATTAATCATAATAGCTAATTAAGTAAATTTATGAATTATTCAAATAAAATTTTGCAGTAATTAAAATAACAATAATTAAGCTCAATCCAGACCCAACCCTTAGTTTTGGGCTTAAAGCCCAAGACTAAGGTCAAGCCAGATCTGTCCAACCCTAGCCCAACGAGAACTAAAATAGTAAAATTTGATGCACTCGTGTTGGGTTCGAGCCTGAGCTACTGGGCTTAGGTTAGTCAATAAGCACACACTAAAGTTTAACCTAAACATCCATATCAATACTACTATTAAAAGAGTAAATGAGAGCATAGAACTTTGTTTGACTAAAATATCCCGATTTTTGAGTTTGGTTAAACTTTAACTGTAAGGACAAATTAAAAATGTAATTTGAACAACCACTTTTCTCCTGGTTCAAGTCCATCTCATCAACTCTTATATTTAAGGTATTAACTCCCATTAACATTCATTGAATCCTATTCTTGAATAAAATACCCCTATTTTGAATTTGATCCCTCTATAATTATAAGGGTACAAAATGTAATCTGAACTATTACATTTCTCCTCATTCAATTCCCTCTCGTTAAGTCTTATATTTAGGATATTAAATCTCATTATTTCATTGAATCCTATATGAATTAATCATATCAAAGAAAAACAAGTGTGATAAAGAATAATAGATTTTAGTGATGATAGAAATAAAATACAAATTAACCAATGCAAAAATGGAGTTGCTTTTCTATTTGGGGGCAAGTCAACAATTCAACCTTTTTTTGGGTCAAATGTGTAAGCCCTTGATGTCGTAATTAAATAATAATTATTAAAAATATATAAAACACACACAAATGTATAAAAAATACAAAGAAAAAATTGTATAAAACATTTGGGCACATCTCTAGCATCATATAATCATCATATTAAATAAAATAAAGTGTGACAAATAAAAATAATTTTTATAGACAGAAATATAAGAAGTTGTAGAAAAATTTGGAAACCTATTGTTTATTATCATCATTATCATTATTTGTGTGTGTGTGTGTTCACAAATAATGTGTCAATATGTTCATGTGCATATGTATATTGTTCAATTGGGCTCAAGTTGGGACAAGGTTGGGTTGGGCTAGCATTACATAAGGGCTAGGCCAGGGGCTTAACCCCCTAAAAGCTCAAACTTTTAGGCTTAGATCCAACCCAAGGACCAAAAATTCCTTGCCCATCACAGGTAAATTTATGGGTCAGGTCAGCCTGGTTGGGCTTGTCCAAGTTGCATCCCTGGGTATATGTTCTTATTTAAGTTTAGATTTTATATTACACATGTATCCATTAGTTCGATGCCAATTATACTACAGTTGTAAGTGCAAATTATTTAACAAACTTGTGATTTAAGTTACCTATTTAATTAGGCAACTTGTTTATGTGGTTAAACAATCCTAATTAACTTAATTAAATACCATAATTATTAATTATTGGTAATAAAACTTTAAAATTTGTAATTTTAATCAATCTAAATCATATTTAAAAAATATAAAAATTAATTCAAATTTGTTAATAATAATTGAAAGTCCAATTAAATTACTAACATTATAAATGTAATTAATTTATAATAAAAGCAGTTTTATAAATAGAAAATACTAATCTTATAAACTAAATTTTGATATGATAAATTTATTAATTTTAAAATTTTTTATTAATTTAAATTCTGTTTAAAATAGTTACATTAGTAAATCTTTATAATAGACTTAAGCCTAACCTTGTCCATAACCACAACTAATTAAAAATGCCATAGGGCTCTTTCTACTTCATTTTACTCTAAAAAAAGTCAATACATACTAAAAAAATAGAGCATGGGAGAATAAGGATATCAACCCAATAACCCATAAACCAATTTTCAACTTAAACTAATGGCTCTTAAGTTTTCAAAATCTATCACAAAAATTACAATTGAAATATTGCGACATGGGTTGGGTTAGTTTCAGGTCGAACTCTATAAGTATGGGTGGGTTGGTAAGGGTGGCCACAAGTCAAGCTTATGCTTAATAAATCTTAGGTCATGAGGCTCACGAGTCTAATCTCACGAACCTAATTGAATGTGTACATAGGGCGTCACCTCAGCCACTGAGGAAAACCTCGGCTCGACACCTCGTCAACTGAGGGAGACCTCAACTCAGCACCTCGTCAACTAAGGGAAACCTCAGCTCAGCACCTCGCTTGTTAGGGAAACCTCAACTCGACACTTCAATAGCTGAGGGAGACCTCAACTATTGAGGGAGACCTGCAATCAAAGGTAGCCGACCGAGCTCAAACTTCTGAGCTTTTGACTCGAGCCGAGCTTGAGCTCAAGTTTCTAATTTGAATCCAGCTTGAGCTCGAGCATGATAGTTTATGAGTGAGCCGAACTTGAATAACCAGATATTCGGCTCAGCTCGAATCCACCCCTATGGATTGGTATGAGTTTGACTCAATCTTAACCCAACCCTCCCATCTTTCCACTCAAACCCAACATGACCTAACTCAATACTATGCAGTTTTTGATCCTACCTCAACCTATAGGGTTCAACTTAATACAATCCCAACCCATCATGTAGTATTTCAATTGTATTTCTTGTGATACTTTTTGAAAACAAAAGAGCCAATATTTTAAGTTGAAAATTGGTTTATGGGTTCAAAGGTATCGATTCTCTAGAGTGAAAAAAAACAAACAGTGAAATAAATATACCTTAAAATTAGGGGTTAGAAGTTCGATCAAATTACAAGAATACCTTATATATGTATAGTGGTATTATGACACAGTGGGTGGGGGTTAGCCAAACCTAAACTGTGTTAAATAATCAAAACTTTAGCCTAACCCTACACCCAATTTAGGTTAAAACAAACATTAAAAGAAATCATAAACTTTAAGGTTAGTATGAGAATACCCTTTATACGTATAGGGGTATTATGACCTGGTGGGTTAGGTCAATTAAACCTATACCTTATTTGAATTAAATAATCAAAATTCTAACTTGACCCTACACCCTAATAAGCTTGACCATAACCTAACATGTAGGGGTGAATCAAGTCGAATTTATCATTTAAGTATTTAACTTAAATCATTGACATCCCTATACAAGATTAGTTCCTTTTACTAGGTTTTTGATTGCATTATGATCAGAACAACAAAACCCAACTCAAAAATCTAATATTTGACTTGGTTTGGATTGACTTGATTCAATTAAAAATATCATAAGACTCTTTCTATTTCAATTTCACCTAACAAAGGCGTACATGAAATAGTGAAAAAGAATTCATGCACGAAGCCCATAATTGGGAGAAGGCTTTGGCGATGATACAAATTCCAGGCCCAATGTTAGGTATTATAGGTCCATGTCCGGCCCAAGTACATCTTGTGGCTCTTATCCCTTTGATAAACCAAATCTATATCGAGGGTTTTAATAATCAGTATCCACGCGAATCTCCGCTCACATACACAAAAATTAGGGCAATGTTTGGCTATTTGGCTTTCTTTTGCATGCAAGTGAGCATCAGCAGAGCTTGATGAGTCTTGTAGTCTGGACTCTGGAGTAGCCTTTTTGTTTGTTCCTTACTTGGGATGTAGTTTATTGTCTTATCCATGCCCAATTCTTTCTCGTCGCATGGAATGGACACGATAGATTAGTATATATACGATAAATATATAGAAAGAAGGAAAAGCACACTCGACTCCGACTCGACGGATAATTCCTTTGTGAAACCCTAAAGGACCACAAAATTCCCACCATTTCAATTCCTCTTCGATCCCTTAGACCTCTGAAATCTCACAAGCCGAACCTAGTATTCTCTTTTGTTAACTTTTTTTTCTTCTCTTCCTGTTTATTTTGCTAATTAGGGCTGTTTCGAATCTACTTCGTTTCATCCGGTATTGTTCAAAGTTCCCCATGGATGCTCAGAGAGCTCTTCTAGATGAACTCATGGGTGCAGGTAACTTATTTAGTTTTCTTTCCTATCTTTTGGCTATTTGATTAGTTCCTGACTGTTATATTGCATTCAACAGAAAAATTTGATATAGAGAACTTCTGGGTTTCTGTTTTTTTATTGGTCTTAAACAAGAACAAAAAAGGAAAAAAGTCTCTCTCTCTCTCCCCCCCCTCCCTCTATCTAAGCATGTTTTTTGGCCTTCGTAGCTCGTAATCTCACCGAAGAGGAGAAAAAGAGTTACAAAGAAATTCGCTGGGACGATAAGGAGGTTTGCGGGTTCTACATGGTTCGGTTTTGCCCGCATGATCTGTTCGTGAATACTAAAAGTGATCTCGGTATGTCTCTGAAGATGCTTTTTTTTTTCCTATTATACTGTTTAAGACTTGGAATTCGTATCAATAATCGTTACTTCTTTGGTTTTGGATTAGGACCTTGCCCTAGAATTCACGATCAGAAACTGAAAGAAAGGTAATCCGTTGATTCCATTTGGGTGCTGTTTATTGTGAAATTAGTGCTGAAGAAATTTGATTTGATTGCTTCCATAGGGTTCCTTTCTGTACTTTGAAGTGTGGCTATATAATGTGAACAGAAACAAAGTCATCATTGACCCATTTTATTGTTTCACCACGAGCTTTCTATTAGAAATGCATTGGATGAATTTGTTTCAATGTTAAAAGGTTGAAAGAATCCTTTGAACTAATTGTTTGCTTTGTAGGTGTGCTGTAGGTCATGCTGGACTGGACATAATATAAACATAGTTATCAATGCGGCAGGGCAAGACTAGACATCTAAATTCTTAGGCAGCTGTATAGCAACGGTTAGGTGGTAGTTTTTTTTGACAAATAGGTACAATCTATATTAATATGTGACATATTTTCAATTTCTTTTTTTTTGTTTTTGAAAAATACTAAAAGAAATCTAGTAATAGCGAAATTTGCATATAAAGACACCTTATCATTAATTTCAGTAGGCACTATCACTTCTATCGTAAATTCAATGCCCTATGTACAATATAATCAACTCCATTAGCAAAATAGCAAGGCATATTTAAAATCATGATTTTTCATATAAGAAGAATTCAAATAAATAAGCAAAGCAACAGGTCAATAGCATGACGTCCAAGTAAATGCAAAGTTATAACAGATCGAATCCAAGCAAAGAAATATTGCAGCAAGAATCCAAGCAATTCAACAGTGTTTCATGGATTCTCCTAAGTGGTTGAAGTGCCCTGTTGGGCACATGTCAGATTTTGAAACCCTGTAGATTCTCAAGGGACACCTCTACAAAATATTTTCCTTTTCCTCCTTTCTTGTTTCACACAAGTGAACAGCTAATGTACATGATGAATGCAAACTTTAGACCTTTTTCTATAGGTATATGATGTTAGAATTCAAAATATATGGACCATTTTTTTTATCATTAACCACAACCATATTAAACAAAGGTTAAATAAAAAGTACACTGCTCAATAAAAGAGCCAGCTTCTTATAATTAAGAGCATAAATAAGCCCAGAACAGATGATCCCTAGAAACCCCTTGTTTGGCGAGAGAGTCTGGCAAAGAATTTGCAGATCTGGTAACCCATCTAAAGGTGGCCTAAACCTCTCTTGCTGTCTCCCAAGTCTCTTTCATGGCCTTTCTGTCTATTGCTGAATATCCACCCCACAACCAGTATGAGTCCCCCTCAACCTCCAACTGGCCTGAATAAAGAGCCACCATTTGCACCCAACTCACCTCTAAAGACTCCACATATACCAGGAGGACCTGGGTTTCCAAAAGAACTCCCATCAAAGTTCAGTTTGGTCTGTTGTTTTCTTGGGGGAGGGGAGGCCTACTGTTCTCGCACTGTCACTTTCAAGGTAGATAAGGCTGCTATCACCACCAACCTCTTAAGAAGTCATTCACTTTAAATCTGCAAGGTCTTTACCCAATGGGTCACCTTCAGCTAGATTCCCTCAATTAGAGCTTCCAAAGATTTACTTTTCTCCTTAAAACAGTCTGTTATTCTTCTCTTAATCCAAAGCAGCTCTTGTTGCTTCCCAGATCACCTTCCCTCTTTTAGGCTCATTTATATAGCGTGGGCTGAAGAGAATTGACTATTTCCACTAGAGATCCCACCCACACCTGAAAAGAGAGCAAAAGTGCACCCATACATGAGACACAAAAGAGCAGGAAGTTATTAGATGGGAGATCGTCTCACCATTAGCTTTGGAAAGGGTGCAGATATGGGGAGAGAGACAGGTGCTTGGTCTCCTTTTTCTGGAGCACGTCACAGGTATTGATTTTACCTAGGGGTTCTCACGGTTCAGTTAACTGAACTATGGGCCTTTTTTTTAAACCGAACTGATACTTTGGTTTTTGAAAAACCACAAATCAAAACTGAACCGAAAACAATTGGTTAACTGATTGGTTGGTTCGGTTTCTGACCAGTTTGGTTCTTCATTTTTTTCAGTTTTTTTAATTTATAATATATTATTAGTAAATATATAATTACATAATATACCGCCAGTTTTTCATATTGATTAACTGAAACCAAAACAGTACGACATTACCTTTGGTTTTTCCAAAACACCAAACTGATCGGTTTGGTTAATTGGATTTTTGGTTTGGTTTTTGTTGAGCACCCCTAATTTTATCATGTACACCCCAATAGAAAGGTTGCACCATACCTCTTTCACAGGAAAAGGAGTGGCTGTGGAGGGATCAGAGTAAAACCAAGTTGAAGAAGTAGGAGCAAGAAAACAAGTTGTGCAGCTGTAGGTGTGTCCATAAGTCCATATTGTTCTTGTCTTGCCAAGTCAAACTCTTCAACATATATTGGATTCTGATTACTGTTTCTCTGTCCATGTGGCGATAAAATAAGTAGTAAGGTTCCTGCCTTGTACCGTGCATGTATGTAAAAAAGGCATGATGTAAAGGCATCCCCAAAAAAGCTATGCTGGCTAGTCGTTGCTCAACAGTTATGAACATGTATAGGAGCTATGCTAAATAAGATCTTTGGAGTCTGGATATTGCAGGCTTTTGCCTGGGTTACTGGTTAAAGATTTTTATTTGCATATTTGCATGAAAGGGAATTCCCTACCTTAGCAACAGGTAGATTTCATTGGTGTTACCATTTGGTTAGTTATCAAGCTGCCCTCTTGTCTGAGTGGTGCTTACAATTCAAAGTTGTTGAGGATGGGGGAAAGAAATATTGTGTTAATCAAGCATATTTAACTAGTTACTCTACATCACAAATTATTGCCTTCTTTAGCTTGTATATTTTAACTTTATCTGTTGAAAGGAGATCATCTTCAATACTGCAGAGTCCTCTCATAGGGGTAAGAAAATTCAACAATATAATGATTGGTGACAGGTTTTGATACAGTCCTTTTCTTGTAGAACAAGGGGCAAGGGCAACTAGTGAGATCAAAAGTGACAAATCTTTTTTTGAAGATTCTCCATTTGTTTAATGAAAGTGTATATGGCTTTTTTATCAGTGATAGGGGGATATGTAAATGGAAAAATAGAAGGGGGTGGTCAACCAAGGCTAGCATTTTTTGGGTGGTTGGCATAACTTGGGTGTATACCATTATTTCTTAGAGATGTTAATAAAATTTAGTTTTACTGACAAAAGCATGGCGTGGCTTTAGAAAAGCTGTTTGTAGTTGTTGCACATTTGGTTTGGTATTTTATATGGAGTGGATTTTTTGGTCTGATTTTGGTAATTATGGCTGCTGATATATAGGTTGTACAAGTTCTGTTTTTGGATAAAGAGATCTTTTATACAGTATTGATACCTTAAATACAGTTCTTCAGTTATGGCAGTTTTTTATGGTCTAAGCTTTTATTATTCTATTGTTTTCTTTTGAGTTTTGGCCAATTCACTATGATTCAGAGTTCTTATAGGAAAAGATCTTGTATAGTAATTTTGCCTTAAATTAAAATCACTGAATTTGATTTATTATTTGATGCATCAATTTGGAGGGACCCATTGCTAGGTGCAATGGTAAGATCTCAGGCTGACTCACATGAGAATGCGTGTTTGAGACAAATGCTGAAGGTTAGATCTGTATCCAGCTTACCCCTCCTCTTACCCAGGATCAGTAGGATCATTATTAGCTAATGGTCCTTTAGAAAAGAATGTAAATTAGATCAAACCCAGGTCCCACAGTAGTAATCTTAGGCAACCTGAGATCATGTGATGCACTAGATTCTTACTTTTCTTTTTCTCATTTTGTCATTTCATTATAAACTTGTCTAGTGGAAGGCATTGCTTGTTCAATCTTGCTACAGCCTCCAAGTAGCAAATGGCCAACTCGTATATTTCCATGTTCAGACTATTAAGACCTCTGGTGCAAAGCATTATTGAGGGCCTCACGTTTTTATTAAAAAGTAAGCAAACGAGTGGAGTTTTAGAATCTTAAAATGATTGAATATGGGAAAAGATTACTATTGATAATTCATCAAAAAAAAAAGATTACTATTGATAGCATTTAATGTCTTGTTTACTATGAATTTAGTATTGTAATTCAAATTAATCAGAAAATTCAATTAATAAGATGGTATTTAATGCACTCTTTACTTGAAAGGGAAAAATGTCAAGGAGGATGAATAATAATTGGATGGGGAAAACTGTCCTTGACAAATAAAGGATGGATCTAATTACCGGATGCTGCTTTTGTATTAGGTAAGGGGCCATTGCCTGGTGCAATGGTGAAATTTCAGGATGACAAGTGTGAGAACACAGGTTCAAGTATGAGAGCCAACACTGGAAATTTTGCCAAAGGCTAGGACTATATCCAATCCACCCCTCCCAAGACCCTGGATATCCAGGACCAACATTGGACAATGACCTTTTTTTGTATAAGGTAATTAGATACACCGACTACCATAAACTCACAGTTGATACTTATTATCCACATATAGATGCATTTACAGCTTTTGATGTTGTGCATTCTTCAACTGGTGGGTTGTGGGCTTGAATCACTTCATGTCATGATATAGTTTATTAATCATACATGTAGTGGATGCATCTTGAAGTTTGAAAAAAAAATGCTCTATGATGCCTATAGCTTACAAACTGCTCTAGCTGTCTGCCCTACATATTATCTATCATTTGAAGGATTTTTTATGCCATGTTTCTTTAATCTCAGTGTTATCTTGATAAGAGTTTGACTTTCTTGGTTTTAGCTTTGAGAAGTCTCCAAGACATGATTCTTTTGTTCCCAAGTTTGAGGCAGAACTTGCTCAGTTTTGCGAGAAACTGGTAGGTTCCATCCATTTAGCTTTCCTCAAATTTGATAACACTTTGTGGTTTTAGATTTATTTCATTTAATCATCGTTTCTCCTATTGTAGGTATATGATCTGGATAGAAAGGTTAGGCGTGGTCGGGAACGCCTTGCTCAAGAGGTTGAAGTTACACCCCCTGCTCCAATCTCTACAGAAAAATCTGAGCAGCTGTCTGTGCTGGAGGAGAAAATTAAGAACCTGTTGGAGCAAGTGGAGTCCCTAGGGGAAGCAGGCAAGGTGGATGAAGCAGAGGCACTCATGAGGAAGGTGCTACAGTAATGCCTATCCATCCCTTCCTTTCTAAATGCAGTTTATAGTATGACTCATTTGGAGATTTTTTGGACACAGGTGGAGATGCTTAATGCTGAGAAGACAGCATTGACTCAACCACAGAATGACAAGGTCTTGATGCTTACACAGGAGAAGAAGATGGCACTTTGTGAGATCTGTGGTTCTTTCCTAGTAGCAAATGATGCTGCAGAAAGGACACAATCTCATGTGACAGGAAAGCAGCATATTGGTTATGGGATGGTCCGTGATTTCATTACTGAGTACAAGGTAAATTTCTGTTCTGATGGTGCCTTGCCGCACATGTGGAGTATTTGTTCTGCCTCATTTTTCTGAGTAAAACAATGGAATTTAATTTTACAGGCAACTAAGGAGAAAGCAAGAGAAGATGAAAGACTAGCAAGGGAGAAAGAAGCAGAAGAACGGAGAAAGCGGAGGGAGAAGGAATATGAGAGTAGAAGTAGAAGTGATTCAAGGGAGAGAGAGAGGTACCATGACAAGGATCGAGAGAGGGAGCGAGATAGATACCGAGAGCGGGAAAGATCCCGAGAGTGGAGTGGAAGAGCAAGCAGGGATGGGGGAAGAGGGATGGATAGGAATCACCATGGAAATGGAAGAGACTGGGGTAGGGACAGGTATCGCGATCGAAATGGAAGTATGGACAGGCGTGAAAGGGGCCGAGAGAGAAGCAGATCATGCTCCCCTTCTAGGCATGGTCACAGAAGGTCATCAAGAAGCCCAATCCACACAAGTTAATGGATAGTGTAGATAGATGACTGGTTTTTGAAATCAAACGAGGTAGACATTTTCTATCTCAGACTTCTTTTCTCAATGTGCGCTTTCGAGTCCCAAGTAAAAATGTCATCATGGGTGGAACTCTTTTTTTTCTCAGAGCTCTGTTGATAAGTATACCATCTCCCTGTCATCAATATTTTAGAGGACAAAGGGTTGAGGTAGGTATAATTTCATTGTTGTAACTTTTCTTATATTCTTGTTTGGGTTTTGTGGAACTAAACGTGTTTTATGGATCATCTCTGAACATCATCTTCAGAGCTTTTTTGTTTGGTCATCGTGTATCCCAAATTCTTGAGTAGTTAAGATGACAGATCCAAAATATTTGCCTGAATGATGCTGCTGCTGTGGAAGGTGATGGTTTTTTCTCAACCTTTTGGAGGTAACATATAAATCTCAACTCTGTCATGGGCAAAATGTAGAGTGAAATTCCCCAAACCATTAATAATTTGGGGTGCCTGCCCTTTCTGTCCTTGATTATCCTTGCTGCATAAAATGCCGTGTGCCCATGATTCTATGTGACAAGGGTTTATTATAGCAGTCACATGGATCCAGTAACTGTTTACCTATGGCATGCTGGGCATTAAAGCATTTTGTATTCCTCCCTTTTTATCTCCTTTTCTTTTTCTTATTACCAGCAATGACTTGTCATCCTTTAAAGATGAGGAGGCTTCTGCTTCCTCGTTTTATCTTAGAAGCCAACCTTGGGGAAAAGGCATTTTCAGAATGCTTTGTCTTTTATTGGCATGGAGAGCATGTTGTATCTTCAAGTATTGGTATACTACAAAGATTCCTTGTAGAACCTGAATTTTTAGCACCTTGACCATCTCTTTAAAAACGAATTAATACCAAAAAATGGCATTTATGTATCATTGTATTTGGCTCTAGCCTGCTTCATGTTTTGTGTCAAGGACAGATGAAGCTTATTCATTAGCCAGAATAATCAAATCGGTTGATCATGATATCTTGGCTCAACAACTTTATGTTGGCCCTCTCCCATATCTTTGCAGGGAAATGGGATACAAAGGTTTATTTTCAAAGGGGCTGGTAGAGCTCTTCTTCCTGAGAAGTGCTTTTTTTTTTTATGTCCTGGAGGTATATCCTTATTGTTCTGCAGAGTGGAATCTTTCAACTATTAGCCGCAGGCAAAACAGGTTCTCCGTCAAACCGACTGACATCAGGTTCTTTGCAAGTGTAGTAGTGCGGTAAAAATAGTTGGGCCATCTATATTTTGAAGCAGGCTTTCTGTTCAACCGCAATGGAATTATGTCAGCTGCTTTAATGAAGTGTGCTTATGTCAAGTTTTTAGTCTGTGCTGCCTGTTATCTGGGTTGGTTGTGCTCAAATCCTCTTTAATTGATATGTCCTCGCTTGCTTGAGCTCATGTAAACTAATTGGCAATATTCCGAGCAGCGAAGTACTAATGTTTAGCCCATGTTTTTCGAGGTTTTTAATCAAGCGCGTGGTCACTAAAATACACATTTGAAGTGTTGGGTACTTGCTCTGTTACTGCGATTAATTTATTTATTTTTCAGAAGTGGATTATGCTTGAGCAGTAGACCAGGATTAATGGATTTCATCTTCTCTGTTCCTCTTCCTTCTTTTAGATTAGGAGCTTCGCTGAAACTGAGATTGAATGAAATTATGTCATCCTTGCATTTTGCAAGCTTAAGAAATTCATTCACACCGTGTTTACAAGCGATTGTTAGTTTGTCGGACGCACACGATTACTAGTTTAAAAGAACGAAAGGGTGGAAATGGAAAAACAAAGAGGTACACGCAATTACTGGAGTTGCAGTTAAGATTGAAGGCTCCACTCTTGGAGTCAACCTCTGATCTACCCTCTGTATTATTCTTTCTTCCCTTGATGCAAAACAGATGGCTTGGTTTGTGAAGATAAAAATGCACTAAACGAGTTGGGCTGAGCGAGATCTGTGTTGTGCTTTTAGGGCGCTTGCGTACCCAGAAGGGGAAAAAGAAAGAATAGAAAACTGCAACAGTCTACGCTTATTCTTCTTAATCGTTAACCCATAAGAAATGAAAGGATTGAAAAAGAAGGGAGTAGATTTTGCCATCTTTCTACGATCAAAGATGACTGGCTCCCTTTGGTTCAAGTTGAAATGTGCATCTAGCATGATGATTGATTTGAGGTGGACACGCAGCCAGCCCTTCCAGTTGGGAAATTTGGAAGTGCGAGTGGTACATGATGCAGCCATGGCGCCTCCCAGTTTACATAAAAAATTGCCAGTAAGTTTCGAAATCCAGAGGTCATGTAGGAGAATTCATTAAAAAAAAAAAAAAGGCCTGTAGGAGAATTGGCAAATAAAATGATTCGACCCCCATCCACAGCAGCTATAGGATGCCATCCATTGTTTTATAGTTTGAAGCTTGTGGCTGCATAATCGAAGAGCTGTCCTTGTTACTGCAGTAACCGTCTCTGATCCACCAAGGCATTAGGCACCAACTTCGCATTTCCACCATTGTCTAGCTGCTGATGTATTAGTATGGCCAGGCCTGTCAAATTTATGCAAAATAAATGAAGTTTTATATAAAAAATTGGAGATGCGGGGTATCGATCCCCGTACCTCTCGCATGCTAAGCGAGCGCTCTACCATCTGAGCTACATCCCCTTTGTTACTTATTAACGTATATAGTTTTTATAAAATATCGATTCGCTTTCCAACCCATGATATTAATATTAGATGCTCAGTACTGGACCAGGACACGATCATCTCTCCTGAGCTTTGAACATATAAATACTTAAATGATGAATAAACTTTGTAGGGAATGGATTAGCTAAACTTGACATCAGGTTGTGGGAGTTGGGAGGGTGCTGGAACGTGTTTGGTTGGTAGTTGTTCCAAAGTCATTACTGTTTGTCAAGGTTGCATTTGTTTTCCAGTTTAAATGAGAATTGAGATAAATTTTACACTTCGTTTTGATTTTGTTCACATTTGTTTGTAGTGTAAGTTTTACTTCGAAAATTGATGATATAATTTTTTACATGCACTAATTATACATTTTTCACTTTAACGGTTCATTATATTTAAATTGATCCATTCACTTTTCAATTAATGTATTTTTACATCGTAAAAACTTTATACTAAAACCAAACATAGCCTTTAGAAAAAAAAAACTAAAAAAAGAAAGTATTACACAAAGTTCAAAGTCTCCCGATACACCCCTTTCAGTATATCGATACTTTGAATCTTGGAACCAATAATCCACACTTTCAAAACCAGCAAAATGGCATCTTTTTGAATGAAACTTTTTATCACTTTGCTAGTGAGGAAACATGGCTTGTTGATGTAAGCATGATATGGTGCAAGCACATGTACACATGAATCATACAATCAATGCCCGCATAATGTGATTCGAAAAATGAACCTTGAATAGAATAACCTCTTTAGGTGGTAACCGGCTCACGGTTCTAAAATGGTCCTTTCTTCTTTGTGAAAAATGACATTTTTTTAACCACACAATGCAAAAGAGGTTGTTTTATTTGCGGTTTATTTTTGAACGCTGCTATGAACCCAAATCTGATGTTCACTGGGCCATGTATCACTTACTACGTAATTAATCATAAGTGAATATGCCAATGTTCATGCCAAAGTTAGCGATAGATCCCAAGTGCCATAATACTTTTATCATGTGTACATGTACTTTTATTGTCTATTTTTTATTATACGGTCATACATTATCGGTGTATGAGACACATCATACTATTGCCATGCCATGTTACATCAAAGAAATAAAACTGCATTGAAATAGGTTGTATTTTGCAAGGTGCCAATTAACTGATTGATAAGGTTTTCTGCTAATGTTAGCGGAAACTTGGGATCGAATCCTGTCTGCACTTGAATTGGGGGATGGGCTATCTTCTTGAGTTCTTGTGTAGTCCTTTAAAATATATATATATATATAAAAAAAACATTGCATTTATAAACCAAATGAAATATGGGAACAATCACAAAACACAACCCTCAAAGGTTGAAACCCCCTTAAATGATTATTTAATTTTGTAAATCTAAGCAAATATTTATGAAATTGAAATGTTACCAATAAAATCACTTTGTTCTTGAACTCGAATCCGTCATTCTTTTTATCCCTTCTTTTACCCAAATATGTCCCACATATTTTATATTTAAATTTCAAATTTGGAAAGCCACCGGTCCACCACAATATCAAATTTGAGGGTTGGCAGAATTTGGTTGATTTCAACTTACCTAACGGCAAATTTTGAAATTCACTTTTTTCATCAACTTTATTCCACTCACTTTATATCCCACTACCGCAAATTTTGAACTTGATTTCGGCAGATTCTCATCTCTGATAAAAAGACAAAGAAACCCCTGACCGTACAATATGATAAAAGTTAAAAAGAAGGTCGTCTTTGTCTTTTTCATTATTCGGGGGTGTGCCCGTACTGAATGTGGTTTGCTCAAATCACTCCCCGGTCGGATTCGGTTGTTGGAGTGGTTGGATGCAGATCGAACTTCCACCCAGTTATGCCGTTGAAATTTTCACGTGGGAAAAAACTATCATTTTTCTTTTGAGATCATCAACTTTTGCGGCTTTCAATTTTCAAATGGACTTTTCTGCATAGTTCGGTAATCCTGACGCGTCGAGCCATCGACCCTCGATGGAGCGTAACTATTGACCCGGACCAAGTCCGACTTTCGAGTCCGGATCACCTGCCAATAAAATACAATAATCCTACGACCTACTAAGTGTGCGGTGTTGTATTAAGAAGTTCGGCTTTAGTCAAGGTAAAGCCCGTTCCAAATAACCTTTATAGCCTTGTATTGGGATATCTCTCTACTTAGTACTTTATTTCATGAATAGATATTCCAAATGCAAGGTTATAATAGGCTGTTGGAATGGTGTGAGCATGGGCTTGTCCTGACCGACGAACTTTGGATCAAATTGGTAGAGGGTTGGAATGTGTTTTATTGATCTTCAAATTTTCTCCGGTTTGAATTTACATATTAGGATTGAGTTTACCTTGTAATTTGGCCAGGTTCAGTCAAGTCATCTAATGCCGACAATTGTCATCACATTCAAAGGCAAAATGTATAGTGCATTTTATGAGAATTGTTGAAATATAAATTAAATGTGAGTGAACCAATAATAAAGTTACAATGACACCTTAATGATAAATATATCTTAGGGAAAAAATTATAATATGAGTCAGTTCAACATTTAAAATTAAGCTATATAATGGTTCAGAAACCAACAACCATTGTACATTCAAATTATAAAAACCCTTGCCATGTCATCAGAGTCTTATGTGGTTGTTGCTAACATAATACTCTTAACCCATGTTGGGCACGACAAAAAGCTTATAATGAAATTGCCCTTAATGTTGGATTATTTGAAAAAAAAAAAAGGTTTTCAATTTCCCGCCTACTCCATCTGTCTTTCGATCTCCCTCCCACTCTCTTACTATCACAATTGTCTCTCTCTGCTTAACGATTATATGATTTGAAAGTAAACAAAAAATGGTTTTCGGTTTCTATGTTTACATCATCTTTGTCAATCTTTGTGTTTTAGTGTGTATGTATGTGTCAATCTATCGTTCTTCTTCAATATCTCTTATTCTCATTCTTGCTCAATCTCTCATTCTCCCTCAATCTCTATCATTCTTTTTTAGCTTCTCTTCCATTCCCTATATCGTTCTTTATTTTTTTATTTTTCTTACACATTTAATAATGTATTAATCATACCATATAATAGAACATAAGACCAACTACTTGTATAATCAAATTATAAACTTTTATCAAGTTGGTGTAAATTTCATAACCAAGAGTTTCTTGTGATTTTTTATCAAATTTGGCTAAGGAAGTTAGAACCATACCAAATTGGTTTTATGTTCTTTAATACAGTCTAATTAATACCATATAAGTGTGTAAAAAAATAAAAATATAGTGAGAGAGGGAATATTAGAGAAGTCGAGAAAATGATAGAGATTAAGGGAGAGAGAGAGAGAGAGAGAGAGAGATTAACCAAGAAACAAAATGAGAGAGACTGAGGGAGAACAGATGATAGATTGATAGAGAGGGAGAGAACGAGAAAGACTGACAGAGATAATGTAAAACCTTTTTTTCAAATCATACAATCGTTGAGCAGAGAAAGACGGTTGTGAGAGTGAGAGAATGGGAGGGAGATCGAAAGATAGAGGGAGTGCGAGGGAAACTGAAAACCCATTTTTTTATTTTCAAATAATCCAACATTAAAGGCAATTTTATTATAGGTTTTTTGCTTTGTCTAGTATGGATTAAAAGTCCCATATTGGCAACTATCATATAAACCTCTGATTACATGATGATAGTCAGAGTTTTGTAAGTTTTTGAACCAACTTACAACGTATGTGTTTGGTTCCATTTATGTTTATTGGGTGGGCGTTTATTAAAAAAATGTTTATCTGATAAACGCCCACTTTAAACGTTTTTCACTTTGTTGTTTGGTTAAGTTTAATTTGGGCCCCTTTACACTTCAACAACAATAAACGTTTTTCCATTTTATGCTGTTTAATGGGGCGTTTCAAAAAACAGCCATATGATGTTTCAGTGTGACACTTTCATGGGAACTATGTAAAATAAATAAGAACATACCACAATCAGGATCCTCCACTTTTGACCCGTGTTAAGTTAAAGTTATGAATAAATTATTTCTTACCACTTTTGACCCATGTCCATCAAAACAGGTCAACAGTGTTTCATATTTGCCAAGCCATAGTTCAGTTGGTTCCTAATTAGTGGATGGGCTGGTGAATCAAATTATTATACATGATTCAATTTAACATTAATTGGTTTAATCAATCGTTGGTATTACTTTCTTACAAGTTACAACTTAAAGTTTGATAGAATTGAATTTCTTGTCAATTCATTTTATTCAGTGCAAGGAGCTTCCTCATATTCTTTTTCTTGGCCAAAAATCATAATTTCCCGGTCAACCATGAAAATTTGGTCCTCGAATTTACCTTCTCCTTAATTGACTTCCACACTTCTCCACCACCAAAAATATTGGTTACTTGGTGTATCCACCTAAAATCTTTTTAACTTAAAAGCATCATCCTGATTATTCTTTCTTTAACTTAGGTTGACAGCAGATACAACCAATGCTTGGATGAGATCCACATAGTCATATCTGCATTCCATGCTGCATCTAATGCTTGGTACAAACTACAAACCACATTTTGCGGGTAGCTAGCCAATGTTGCTCGTTGGCACAACTATAGGACAAATAGAGCTGGGTAACTCTAATTCAGAGTTTTTTTTTTTTTTTTTTTTTCGTGTTTCAGAACTGGGTTTCTATCTCTTGGAAACACATACATTTGTTTTCTCCAACACATAAATTTATTTTCTCAAACACATACAAGCTAGGCAACCTCTGTGTCACAAATACATACATTTAATTTCTCAAATCTTTAGCTAAATGCTACCTCAAAATAACAGACAAAAAATAGAAAACAATAACTGACGAGAATAGATCTCAGAGAACATATCGGCGGCAAACCAGAGATATAAATCAAAGATACGAGAAACACTCTCTCCCTCTCTCTCTAAAAAATCCAGCTGCGGCAACACTCGCTTTGATTCAAAGAAAACAGAGATATTGTTGAAAGTGAGGAGAAAAGAGAAAACAAAGAGAAATCAGAAAGAAAATAGGGAGAAAACAAAGACCTTACCGGCGGCAGCTGCTCCTCCCTCCGGCGAAGAATCCTCTCTCCGATCGTCGCTGGACTGAAGTATCCTGGTGTTCTCCTCTGGCAGTGAAAGACTTTCTCTTTGATGCTTTAAAACTAGGTTATCGAAGTGAGGAAGATAACCGCCTTTAGTATGGTAGATCTGGGTTGCATTGGATCACCACCTTTGGGCGACACGTCAGCAGACACATATGCTCCATGTCAATGCCTCGTTTCATGAAACGCCAGGCATTGAAGGAAGTGAGAAATTTTCACTTCCCCCAACAATTATTTTCACAAAAACCAAGAAAAATAAACGCATAAACGTTTATTTGCGTTTTTTTAATAAATGCACGTACCAAACAGTGAGTTTGAAGCCAAAAAACGTTTATTGCGCATCATACTGATATGACGCTAAAGTGGCACTATTTTTTCAATAAACGTAAACGGTTTCAAACATACCCAACATCATTTTAAATGTTGAGCTGGAACAAACTATAATTTTCCTATATCTTATGAAATATTAATCCATTAAATGAAATACATAGTATTTTTACTATAATTTTCCCTATATAACGATATAATATTGTTTAATAAGATTGATTGAATTTTGATTTTTTTGTATCATAAATCATATCCCAATCTTCTATACAAAACACATCCCGATCTCCATCCAATCAAAATAACATCCCAATGTATTTCAACATGATGATTTACGATCACGTCATATATAGTGGGTCCTAATCTTATGACGAGTAGATCTGTTTATGGGCCGGGTAACCTAATGGCCCGGCCCGCACCCCGGTCGGGGTTGGTCATGTAATTAGGCCCGCGGGTCTGATCTCAGGCCTAACACAATAAGTTCGACTGTGTTTTGGCCCGGGCTCAGGATTTGTTAAAAAAATCCAATCCGATTCAGCATTATATATTTTATAAAATACATAATGTGTATATTTATATATTATATAAAATATATAAATAATATAATATTTATTAAAATATATATTTATAATTTAATATATACATTTTTTATTATAATTTCTCTCTCTCTCTCTCTATTCAGCCGCTTCAGCAGTAATAACAGCATGGGCTAAATTTTATGCTCAGACTTAGGCCCGAGTTTCAAACTTTTTATGAGGGTTGGGCTCGGGCTTGGGCCTTAAAAAAATCTGTTAATACAGAGTGAAAGCCAGACTCTAATGACGAGATGTGTAAAGAAAATAGATAGTGTTGGAACAATACGGTTGTTTTGTTTGGAAGAGATCCCAACTCAACTTTGAAATGAACCGGACTCAAAACATTCAGTTATTCAATTGGTGGTGCCATTTCTATTAAAAGAGAAATGACATAGGCACATAGCACCAAAAAAGGTCATGACATCATTCATACCTAATTATGTTTGGATGATTTATACAATAATGAGAACCATAGATGCTGATGACCATCTTGAGGATTGGTCCCACAAGTAAATCCTTTCTTTTAGCTCAAGAATCTTTTCACTAACTACATCTATCCGATCTGAATTCTGATCGACACAATCAGAGAGATATTTTTATAGTGGGACATATCTCAAGTTCCTTATCCCTTGGGAAAGGCCCATCAACAATAACCTACATCAAAACTTCCTTTCCTTTTCAGAAAGGCGGGAATGCTTCTTTCAAAGAAGATTCCTCGGAATGTAGTGACGTGGCTTTGTTATCTACCGTCAAAAAGAGCACTTCCACCATTTTAAAGTAACACTCAAAAAGTGGTGAATTTCATTTGATCGCACAACTTTCTCAAATTCAAATAACGAAATGGCCAAAACACCCTCGTTTAAGCGGCCGGCGAGGGACGTCTCGTCCTCGATTGAATGGGTCCAGATTTTCAATCCCTTTTTCTGAGAATCTTAATTACTTGTCCAATGAGATGTAAGGCGGAATTGGACGGTTCGGATCGCCCATGGTACTGATTTCAGGCCGTTGATCTCTTTGGTGGGATCGTCAGGTACCTATTCAATGCTGCCCGTACCATACACAGCAAAGCAACAACAAATAAAAGAACAAAATGAAACACGAGAGAGAGAGAGAGAGAGAGAGAGGACTGTCCCACGACGTTACTTTGCTGCAATGTTCATTCTTCGCTTTTAAAACATCTCATTCTCCCAAGAAAACCAGGGAAAAAAACAGATTTTAATTAACAACAATTCCAGATCCCTCAGGTCTTCAGAGTTTCTCGAATTTCTCTGGTTTCAGGCTGGTTGTGGTTGCCGGGAAACCAGTTTCTCAGTTCCAGATCTTCGCCAGGTTCTAACTTACCCGCTTAAAGGCCGTTTTTCAACATCGAGAAATCGGTACTCCTTGCGGTTTTGATCAACAACGATCCTGCGGTATGAATTCAGGAGAGTTTCTCGGCATTGAGCCTCAGGAGCTCAAGTTTCCCTGTAAGTTCATCTCGCTTTGTTGTTTTCTTTAACTATTTCTTTTGGGAGCTCTAAAGATTTTGCATTTGTAGATCTGCCCTTCCTCTTTTTAATCTATAAGGTTTGATGATTTTAATTGTTTTGTTTTTGTTTTTTCGTCACGAGAAGTCGAACTGAAGAAGCAGATCTCATGTTCGCTTCAACTATCGAATAAGACGGATAACTATGTTGCTTTCAAGGTAATTCCATTTAATCATTTTTTCCCGAGATAGAATGCACCACCCGAAACAAGGCGATGATCTTAACAATAAAAAATTGTTCTTTATTCTCTTCGTTGTTCTTATATCTTCTTAATTTATCTATTTATTTTCGGTTATTTTGGCAATTTAACTTCCTTTGAAAATGTGTGATATTTATGGTAAGAAATCGGTCAATTTTGAACTTCTTGCATGTCTTGATACCTGAATGTAGAATTTCTGATTTTCAGGTGAAGACGACGAATCCAAAGAAGTACTGTGTTCGTCCAAACACCGGAATTGTATTGCCTCGATCAACATGCGATGTTATAGGTCTCTCTCTCTCTCAGACAAACACACTGTAATTGTTTTGATTAATTAGCCACTCACGTTTACTGTTATTATTGTTGGTCAGTTACCATGCAAGCACAGCGCGAAGCTCCCCCTGACATGCAATGCAAGGACAAGTTTCTCCTTCAGAGCGTAATTGCAAGTCCTGGTGCTACTCCTAAGGATATTAACCCAGAAGTGGTAATAATCAATGCATGTAATCATATTTAGTGCAATTTTTTTTTGTGAGAATTAGATGGTGTAATGCATAAGAGTTTTAATCTATGGGATTGGTTTTATTTAGTTCAACAAGGAATCAGGAAATCTCGTTGAGGAATGTAAATTGAGAGTTGTTTATGTTTCTCCTCCTCAACCACCATCACCAGTTCCAGAAGGATCTGAGGAAGGCTCTTCCCCAAGGGCTTCTATATCAGATAATGGGAACTTTAATACTTCTGAATTTGCTGCTGTGAGTAATTTTAATTTTTATTCTTCATGTTTTACCAAAGGTTAATGTTCTTTAATATTTCTATCTATCATGCAAATTGTTTTTATACAACTTGTTGCCTGGAGTGCAATCAGAATTTTTAGAAGCAGATTGATAACAGGTCTATATAACCATGCTTACAGGTTTCTGGAGCATATTCTGAGTCTCAAGATAAATCTTCAGAGGTAAGTTTTCTTTCAGGGAATTTTAGATAATACACTTTTACTTGGGTAGTTTTTTGAACTTGCAACTACTTCGTGATGCTAAGTTTTTTTTTCCCTGATCAGTATGTTGAAATTTTTTTTTAAGTTGGGAAAAGAATGGGTAGTATTTATAGTACAGGCTATTCCTCAGCATCCCACAATCCTTCTTGTATTTTCCTTCAGTCTCGCCCATGCTTAACCTTTTTTGCTTTTTTAGTTACATAAGCCTTCATCATCTGTTTAAGTGGTTCTCCAATATAGTTGGTCTCCGTTCATACATTGTCTTGCAAGTGAATCTGCCACTCCATTTGCTGATCTATGTGTGCAATCGAATATTGTTCTCAGCCCCCTTTGCAGTTGTCTGACTTCCCTTAGTTTATGCCTATACTGCCATGTTCATGGTTTGTTGTGCTTAAGACATTCAATAATTATCTTTTGAGTCTCCTTTCACAATTAAATCCTTGTAATTTAGCATCTTCTCTAGTCCTAGCCCCTGGAGTACTGCATACAATTCTGTTTTGATTGAGTTTCCATAAGCAATAGGTCTTTAGTCAATTGCCATAATTACACTGTCTTCATAGTCTCTAAAAACTCCTCCGATACCAGACACTCCAGGGTTGCCCAAGCTGCATCTGTCAAAGTCCAATTTTATGAAGTTTGTATGTGGCGGGAGCCCAAAGAAGTTTGATGGTGCTTCTAACTGTAGACAAAGCTGCAATATGTTGTCATCCCCTTAAAATATCTTCCACTAATAATTGTTCAAATATGGGCATTGTTTTTCCCCAATGTGACACCATGTGATATTCTCAATTAAGGCATCTTTAGTTCTAGCCTTTTCCTTGAATATTCTCAATTCTCATGTTCCTTTCTTCCCAAACTGCCCATAGAATGACAACCCTTCTGCATCTCCAAAGCATCTTCCCCCTTTTCTTGGATGGGGAATGGTGGAATCTTTAAATAATTGCGATTATTGTTGTATTAATATTATATCATTGTTCTTACAGTCCATGGTATGGTTCATCATAGGCTATGAGTTTGCACATAGTTCATTGTTTAGTTCAATATTTTAATAATAGGGTAGGAATTGTGGAATCTGAAAGATAATTTTTAGTTTTGAAAGAATATGGTCTATGTTACTCAGATATCGCAAAGACACAACAAGATACGGCATTAGATATGATATGAAATTTACACTAAAAATTGAAGTATGTGATGTAACTCAGCACCCTTGTGTAAGTATATGGATTTAGATCCTATGGAGGGTGTGCTATAGACACTCGAGTGTGCCCACAACGCACTCACGTTGTATCACAAACCCAAGCTTGGTGACTAGCAACGCAATCCCACTTAGTGGTTAAATCACAACAAACAGGCATACTCACTATGAGACGTAGTAAACCATTGTTTACAACACAAAACACAACTGAGCTAACTGCAAACATTAACATCGTAGTAATCCTCTACGTTGCAATGACATATCGCCAAAGTGTTACAGCACAACAGCATAACGTACTCGCAAAGGTCTATGACAATTGACAATTCATTACCTGAATGCCACAGTGCAATACTATAACACACCAAAAGAATTGCGATGATAAATCAACACCCCTAATGATGTAAGCAAATGTCAAAAGCATGATAGCAAGGAGAAGGGCAAGAACCCAGACCGTAGGATCTCGGATCTCTATAGTGACACGTGGCAAAACCCTACTTGTGGCCAAGGTTCAAAGTATCGATATAATACGAGTTTCGGTCGTACCGTATCGGTACTTAGAAACGGCTGATACATACTTTTTTTTTTTAGTTTTTTTTTTCAAAGTTTAGTTTTTTGGGAAGCTTATAAGATATTTTTTATTATTAAAAAAAATTGGGGGGTCCAAAACACATGGAAACAGGCGTTTCGGACCGTATCTTTTTCAAAAGATACGATACTTTGAACCTTGGTCACATGGAAACAGGCGTATCGATACTTTGAACCATACTTGTGACCTCTCTGTCCTAGATCTAGCTGAATAATAATAGACTTTCCCGCTTTGGGGAAAGTTCCTTTTCTCATTACGTATTTTCTATTCTGTTGAGGATCTTTTCTCTATAAATAGGGAAAACTTGAAGCTTTCCTCAGACATATATTACCCTCTCCTTGCGTAAGTTTTGTTGGACTGTGTCCTTAATCTCCATTACAACCTCCATTAAAGCTCCCTGCAACCTTTCTTCTTCCTCTTCTTTCCTCCCAAAGTCATCTACTGTCTTTCAGGTAGACCCCCACTGCTGCCTTACCCCCCTCCCCTCTCACACCTTGTACAGGTATCCATGTAGCATAGACTATGATCATAAAATTTAAAGTTCAGAACATTCTTTCTGCTAATAAGTTCTACCATAAGAAGTTTATTAGCTTGTAATAACATAGGGTACTTGAACTATTTCTCAGGATGGACCATTTGTTGTATAAAACTATATAAGTATTGAGTAGATTTGCATTTATATCCATCTATTGGGGTAGACTTATTTCTAGTTGATATTTCTATTGCATTATTGTTCTAAAGAATGAAGGTTTCAATGATTTAGAGGCGAATATATTATTTATGTGATCCTTCATGGTCAGTGTATTGATTTTACATTGTAGGGGTGGATCCAAGCTGAGCCAAGCCGGATATTTGGCTATTCGAACTCATCTCGATAGAAAAATATCAGGCTCGAGCTCGATGGTGAGCCAAGCTTCATATAAAAAACAAAAAAAAATTGCATATAAAAAATGAAAAATTATATCTATAAAAAATATTTGTTATTATATATATATAAGTTAAAAATATTATATATAATATAAGCTCGATTAGGGCCATTAGGCTTGCAAGCCTCACAAGCCGAGCTTCATTAGTCTCAAGCTTGGCTTGAAGCTTGGTTTAAACCAAGTCGAATTGAGCTTTTCACGAGCTGAACTCGAATAGCTTGTGAAAAGCTCGGTTCGTGTCCATCCCTATTACATTGTAGATCAAAGCATAGAGTTTTATGCTAATGCTTTGCTTGCATGTCTACTGTTGGTGGGTGGGGGTCATTGGTATCAATAACACATAGGTATAAGAGTCCTTTGAAATTAAGTCTGGTGTGGCAAACATAAGTGTGAAAAAGTACTTTTTTTACGTTGTACGAAGCATCAAAAAGGTCATCTGGAGAAGAAAGTTGTATGTCAACTTTGAATTCTAGTAACTAAACTGGAAAACATTAATCGAATAGAGAGAGGAAATTCTTTCTCTAAATCTTCCCTATCAAACCTTGGTGAAAGCCAAGTTTGATTTAGCCATCTGCCATATATTAGGTTCCTTTTCATCTCATTAAAACAGTTTTCAAAACTTCCCACTAAAAACTCCAGTTCTCAAAAGTTTCATATTTTGAGAACCCTCATCTTTTTGTGCCAAATCTTCTCAAAACCCTTCCAAAATTCAATCTCCTTCTTTGATTCATTTACCTGAATCATCCGCTAAAGAAATTCCATTCCAATCTTGAAAACATTGATTTTTTTTTTTATTTTATATATTCTCTCTGGAAATTTCTGCACATTGCAGGAATTCCACCACTAAGCTAGTTTTCTGATAACTTCATACAGCCATATAACCCTAAACAAACCTTCATCCCCCTTCTCTAGACCTACTTTTTGCCCCCCAACTCTGAACCTCGGAACTGATCTCTTACACTCATCTTTACTTTTCAGTTTCTCTCAAATTTGTTACCAGTCCAGCTTGGATCACAACACTCCTACATCAGATTGGTATCAGAGCAATTGGTCCTACATGATCCCCTTGTTTATTGATGACTCAGCTTGGCCTCATCATTCTTGTACATGGAAAAAAATATGAGTTATCTGACAGGTCATCCAAGTAAGCCCCTACTTGTCCTGATTTGGGACAGATTATGTATGTGCATGTTATGGGACTGTGTGTCTCATTCTCCCAGTTCCTGATGTTTATACACTAACATTTTTGGAACAGCATGCCTTTTTTTATATATATGAGCTTGAGGGTTAATTACTTTGTTTATGTCAAGTGGCATTGTTACTGCAGATTTGACTGATAATTGGTCTGTTTTCAGGCAAAGGCTCTTATTTCAAAGCTCACAGAGGAGAAAATTTTGGCTATTCAACAGAGCACCAAACTTCGTCAGGAATTGGTGAGGGATTTCATACAAGGAATTCATCTTTTAAGTTTCTGAACTTCTGCTTATGTGCATCAGATTAATGATCATCTTAGCATTGCACGAATAAGTGATATTTTTATATGCTCAGAAGCTTCCCATTCCTCTTTTATTAGACTATGTAGATGGTCTGATTTCATAAAGATGTTCTGCTGCTCAACTCTGTATCATTATCTTATATATCCCTTTGTTTATTATATTTCTTTGTAATGTTATTGTGACAATCTTCTTTCATCCCTGTAAGATATACAAAATTTTTGGATGGGATGACAGTAGAGTACACTTTTGGGTAGAAGAATAGTATGGGGAGGGAAGATTATGTGAACTATGTTTAAGACCAGATAAGCTGAATGCTAAAACATTAGGGTCAACCAGTGCTTTGAGAAGAGAGGAGCAGATTTTGTGGAGTCCTATATATGGGCACCCATTGCTCAATAGGGAATTAGAAGAAAACTTTTAGTAGGTAAAATATATCAAATGTAATGTCTTATGCCTGGGGCTTTCTATTCTTTCTTTTCAGTGAATAAATTCCTTTTTGTTTGTCAGAAAATATCTAGATTTTATATGTCAACTACATTTCACATGTATCTATATAAAATAATGTATTGAATATATTATTTATTTTAAAGCAAATTGGACTTTTGATTTTGATAATTTATGCAAAATCGTTTTGAAGTTTGAACATGATTCCATCTCTAGTTGAATTTTCTACTTACCCTATGTTTCTTTATATGTCTGATGAAACATATAAATGCTAGGGGTGCAAAAAAAATGCTGAAGGATATGTCTGTACATAGTCCACTCTTCCCAGTATAGCTAGGTCCAACATTGGGTAATAGCCTTTTTCTAAACATATAATATAAATGGCACACAACAAATTGTTGAGGTTAGTTGAAATGGAAAACTATCCTTTTTTCTAATAATAAATTTGGCATTCTATAAATTAGTTTAGTGGAGAAGGTATTTCTAAATTAATTGATGAGAATGCCATTGTGAGGTATGTAAACTAGCTACTAGTATTAGATTCTGACCAGTATGTCTCATTTTGGAGGTTGAAGAATGTGCTCCAGTTTATTTTCTAATTTATGGTGCAGCTTCAGAGTGACTTGCCTTCTTTTAGGGGTGTTATTTCTTATCTTGTCCTGTGAGGTTGGAGATGGTTTGACATCCTCAAAAGTAACTGAGAGGGCAGTGGTTTGCCTTCTTTAAGGATGTATTTGTTAATCAAGCAGGTTGGGGTTTTAATTCAGGGCTTTGTATATTTATCTGCTTTTAGGATTTCTTATTTGTTCTGATGTAGTATATGTGCCAATCAAGAACATAACTTTGATTAATCAGTTGATGGAGGCTGCTTTATTTAAGGTGGTAATCTTTGGAGGGAGATTTTTTTTTTTTTTTTTTCATTATTAAACAATGTTCTAGAAAGTGAAAGGGTTGGATTTCTAGCTTATGGGGCCATTATGATGTTGGTCAGTTTTTTTTTTTTTTCAATAGGAAACAGTGACTTTCATTTAAATTAATTTAACAAAATATTACAACTGTCAACCACCCTAACACAAGGGTGCTGACCCCAAAAACGGTCTTAGGTTACAGCACTGCCCATTAGCTGACCTTCGGACCCAATTGAAAGAGACCCCTATCTCCCTTGCTAACCAATTTATTTCCCTCATGAGCTGTCTATAGACCCAGACCCCCAACCTTTGTGACTAAATCCAACCAATTACTAGCTTAGAATCCCCTTCTACCTCAACTTGATGAAGACCCAACTGCTTAGCCAATCTTAATCCTTGAAGTAAAGCCATCACCTCCGCTCTCAGTGAATCACCCACTCCTATTGTACCTGAAAACATAACAATTAGTCTGCCCTCTTCATCTGTCAGTACTCCATGTCTCCACCTATTCCAGAAGGGCCCCGGTTGCCTAAAGAGCTCCCGTCAAAATTCAGCTTCACCCTTCAAGGAAACAGAAGTTGCCAGTTGCCACTGCGCTCCAACCTCTTAGTATGTCATCAATTGAGAAGTCCCTGAAAAGCTCTAATGTTTTCAGCCAGTGGATAATTTTAATGGTTATTACATCAATGACTTCTTCCTTAGATTTTCCAACATCTCTAAAGATCCTCTCATTCCTTTGTTTCCAAATTGACCAAAGGATAGCTTCTCTTGTGGCTCTCCACATTACTTTACCCCTCTTGGTCAGTGGTAGTTTAAAGAAAAAGAGAAAAGGGAACATATTACTCCTTCCAAAGAGTGCTGGTATTTTTAGATAAATTTTATCTTTAAGATATGGTTGCCAAAGTGTCTACACAATTCTAGGTGACAATGGGGCACCTAATTGCCTAGGCAAAAGGAATGTTACTCTCAAAGAACCATTCAACCTAAAAGCTTAAGCTGTTAGATGAGGTCCTTGAATAGGTTGATATTTTCTAACATGCCCCCTCACACGAAAGTCCATTGGGCTTGAAGTGTGAACAAGCACAGGCCCACTCATACCTTGTGCTGAAACTTAATTATAATGGGGGTAATGAGGATTGAACACTAGACCACTTGGTAAAAAGTGGCTCTGATACCATCTCAAAGAACCATTCAACCTAAAAGCTTAAGCTGTTAGATGAGGTCCTTGAATAGGTTGATATTTTCTAACAGTTACAAAGAAAAACCTAAATTCTAGGTTTGTTTCCCAATTTTATATACCAATCAGCATGCATTTAAATTCAAAAAATAGTAATGCTTCTTTACTAGTAGCATTAGTTTTCCTATCAAAACGTACTAAATCATCACATCTAAAGACAATAGCATTTTAAGTAAATTATTTTTAATATTTCAAACATAACATCATAACATAGTAAGTATTTAATAGAGCAATTGCATGTCAAAAGGTTCTTAGCAAATAAAGAAGGTTGTGTTTTTATGCTCTAAAAATAATTTTTAAGAGTGACGGAAACAGAAAAGGAAAAAAGGGGAAACCCTTTTCTATTTGATGTAGGAGAGGGGAGAAATTGTAGGAAAAAAAAGAGAGAATTCATTATCCTTCTTTTTTCTCTCCTTAAAACCCTTGGATTTTTTATGATTTAATGGTAAAATCATTAAACAAAGCATAAAAAATATACATAATATATGATAGGGTGTATTAAAACACATCGTAATAATATGTTGCCATTAGTAATAATATTATAATAATCCATAAGCAAAGTTCAAAGTATCGATGCGTATCATTCCGGGACCCCTCCGGTACGCCCCTACAGTGGGTGTATCGGGGGTCTGACCGGTTCAGGGGGTGGAGGAGCCCTAAACTGGTTGCAAAAAAAAAAGGCATGAAAAGCTGTATTGATTTGCCCGTTACGCCCATACCAGCATATCGGGCGTATCGATATTTTGAACCTTGGCCATAAGCCATGACGGGCAAATGGTTGCCTCAACAAAGTGCCTTTTTTTATGGCATTCAATTGAGGTGCCTTATTGCATAGATGATCCCTAGGGTAATCCTACTAATCACATGACCATTTCATAAGTGCACAAGAAAAAAAATGATGTTGCCTTCTAGAGTAGAAGAATCAGTAAACTGGCTGAAGATGGTGGTATATTGCTCTGGTACATAAACTTGTGTAGAACAGCCATTTTGCACTTTAGATGTGAATCTGTGCATTTTTATGTTTTTTGTTACATGCATTTCCTTTTTCATTTTATGGCTAAATGCATTTCCTTTATTTATGCATATATACTAGCAAGCATGCAAACCATGTCCAAATTACAAAATCCAATGAAGATGAATAAGCTAATAATTTGCATGGCATAATTCTATCTTCTCTTTTATTTGTTTACAGAGAACAAATTATCATTCTTTGGTTTGGCTGTGCAGGATCTGTTGAGGCGTGAAGCCAACAAAAACCGTAGTGGTGTTTCATTCCTTTATGTCGTGCTTGTGGGCTTGCTGGGTATCCTTTTAGGATATCTTTTGAGGAAGACATGATCGTTGCATATTCTACTATGGCAGTAAATTCTCCTCTTTTATTTTTAAATCATATTCCAACAACAAAGAAGGAACAGAAAAGAAGAAACAAAATGAAATTATGACAGTTGGCGGTGCTTCTGTTAGTTGTAACAGCGGTCTGTGGAATTAGAAAACATTTTCCTTTGGAGTTGATTGGTTTGTTATTGTTCAAGCGGGAACTCTGAAAATGTAGTGTGTGACTAACTCCTGCCTTGTTTACAGGTTTTCATTCGACAACTCCTGAGAAGTTTTCTTTTCTTCTTAATTCTCTTTCACTTTCTTCAATTCTGTTTAGGTCACTATTTTCAAAACTATAGTTAGTCTTGTCTTAGGTTTTGAAAATATAGGTTTGTCATGTAGTATGTATATTTGGTGTTGAAAGTTGCTGGTTCTATCATTTGGCACATGGCAATCTATTCACGTATTGCCCCATGCAGTGGAAGATTAGAGTTCAGTGCGTCAAGAGCTTTGACACTGTTGCCCTTTAGCTCCAGGCTTTTTAGCCAGTATCAGATAATGTGGAAGCCCGAGACTTATCTATGGAGTTCACTGCTGAGTTCTGAATAGCCTGAATTCCAAGCAGTAGCAGCACAAGCCTGGAGAATTTTAAGTAATGGAGCCCAGACCAACTTTACCAGAATGCAGAAGAGGAAGTGGATATGCGGTGTACCCGCACATACTAAACAGGTAGACAAGAAAAGAATCAGAAGTTCTTCCACTTGGACACTGTCGAGGCGTCGGCCAAACTGCACAAATCTCCTGAGACGCAAGTGGGTCTGGGTGGACAAGTTTCTCTGCACAGTTGGGCTTTATCACCATGTATTTGGTTATAAACAGTTAAACACTCGAAAGTCGGTACTGCTATATGGCTTTATTACCATGTTTTCCATATATTAACGTTGTAGACTCAGTAGTCCCTCCAAATTGAGAATTAGGTGTAATCTCTTCCTATAACGCAATTCTGAACCATTGTCCAGAAGCTGCCACAACGTGATCCATGTTTGGCTCTAAGCATTGTAACTGTGTAAATCTCGAGATGATTTGATCTGAAGATCTATATCATCTATGATCCCGATGCAAATCGGTTATTAGTTTTTGGACTCCCAACCTCGTTGTAAGAAAGTTGTCAACTACCCGGCCTCCTTTTTTTTTTGTAAGGCTGTGCTTGGTTTGAAGGAAAAAAGTAAGGAAAAGGAAGGAAACGCAAAGAAGTATAAGGTTTCCCTACATTTTCCTTCCTTTTCCTACTTATTCCTTCTAGTCAAACATAGCCACATGCTCCATTATATTTCACGAGAACCCCACATCAATGCAATTGATTTTTTTTCTTTGTCAATTGATATATATATAATTTTTTTCGGTCTTGTAACAGAGATTGATGAGATTTGCCACCTAGAAATTGGCACTTGGCATTAGAGAAAACAGATGATGCCATTTCAACTTCAGTCTGCAACGTCTCATTATCTCAAAATACAAATGAACTTGTGATTTGTGAATACGAAATTCAACTGAAATTCAACCATTACTTTTGGTTTGACAAACAGAACTGAGCCACTGATGTGTTTTTGAGTTTGGTCGAGCTAATCTATCTTTCTCCGCTTTGATTTACATGAATGTAACATTGTAACTGTATCTAAAACAAAATTGCGACTGTCTTTAAAATGGGTACCATTTACCCAAATCTATTAAATAATTGAATAAAAACACAGTCGAGGAGATAAGATTGAGAGATCCTTAATTTAATTCATAATAAAAACTTCCACCATTTTTATGGGTGGTTTTTGTTTGATTTGATTTGGGTTTCAACAGAGGCAGTAGTAAGGGGCAATCCTACACGAGGGATCCATGGATTGAGTTCTATCCACTGTTATTACTGTTCCGTCGACCATTACCTACGACGACCCTTCTTCCGTGTTTCAGCTGAGACAACTCGATCTGGGTCTTCATGAAAAACCGCAACCTCTGCAACTCAAATTCCCTGGTCAACTCCATTCTCTGTTTCTCCATCTCCATCATCTGCTCCAGCTTTGACTTCTCCACTTTCTCGTACACTTCACCGAATTTCAAAATCGCCCGACTGAGCTCCCTCATCGAAGATTCGGACTTACCTCCCCAACCACTTCGAATTGATTCTCTCTTGAACCTCCATCTCTTCCCATTCACATTATTCGTCGCCGGGGGAAGACCATCCGTCGAGTCGCCCGAGTTGGTCGACTCCCGCTGATTTAACTGAGGCTGTCGCAACGATCTGAAGTTCCTAACGGCGGCTGCCGCGGATGACTTCGGGGTGGGCCCGGATGGGGTGTTATTGTCGAGATCTTCGTTTTTCCTCGACGAGGGTCCGATGAGCTGATAAATGCGGTCAAAGAAAACCCATTTGGTGGGGAATCCAGAAGAGATCTTGGCCTTCTCGACCTTATACTTCTTCTTCAACGTATCGATTCGGTTCTTACACTGAATATCGGTTTTGGGCACCTTCGTGTAGTCTTCGCGGCTGGTCACAACATCGGCTACCTCTTGCCAGTGCTTCTGCTTCAGGTTGCCTCTGTTCAGCTCAATGTATCGTTCACCCCAGGCATCAATTAGAGTCGATGTGGCACCTTCGCTCCAACAATCTTCGCGGCCGTGTGTGACGCCTCCGCCGGTGATGGTGCTAGTCATCCGGGGTTGCTGAATTGGAAGGGCTAGGGTTAGAGACTGACGCGCCGGCGGTGGCGGCGCCGCTACGGTTACTGGCTGTGATGGTCCTATTTGGTGGTCTGACGATGCTGGGGATGTTGGGTTTGATTCCATCTCCTCTTCGTTTTCCATTCTGAGAGAGAGAGGTTAGGGTGGAGTTTGCCGGCGGTGAGGATTTTGAGGTTTGGTTAGGAGTTTTGTGTGTATTTCCTTTTTGGTGGGTCAGACGGCGATCGGTTAAGATCGAGAGGGAGGAGGACACGTGTAAGGCGATTAAAGTACAGGTATTTTGATCGGCGACCGGGGAAGGGAGACACCTACCGGCGTAACGTGGGTGTTGACAATGACGCCCGTTGGGCTCAGTAACCGGTGTGACGTGTCTGCTTCCGGTCCGTCATAATTGGGCCGGCTTCTTTAACCCAGTCTACTCGATTAGAGAAAAATAATCTTCACTCTACAATAACAAAGCTGATTAAGACTTAGCCTTGGCTTCACGTCCAGACCATTCAAAATTCAAGTAGTCCATTAAAATAAGTATTTTATTTTATTGATCAAAAGCAAGGGTTTGACTGATTGAGCATACACACACAAGGTTGAGAGACAAAGACCCTCAAACTATCAAACAGGTGTCTCTTTCGTCCACGTGTTTAGGGCCTTAAAATAATTATTTAGAAAAATAGCTTTCACAAAGGTCACGTGGGCAACATTGGTATTTGGTAGCTAGTAGGGGTCCCATTAATGGCCGTGAATCCTTTTATGTTCCGACGGAGATGGGCTTGTCGAGTCTGTGCCCACACCCTTCCAACCACCTTTTGCAACCCTACAGTAGGAATATCACTCCGAAGCCGAACTCGTTCCGACGTGTTTAACTTGTTACCCAGGAGGAATGGATTATTTTGAACAACTGGCAAGGAATTGGAGTCAAATTTAGCCCATGGTTCAAGGTCGAAGGGAGAACAAATTTGGATCCTTGTCGGGCCCCAAAGCCCAAACCAACTTGCTAAGTGGATGATTACCTGAGCTGCCAATGGGCACTCCGGATCTCCTTATTACATATCTACCCACAAAACACCATTACACGAATGATAAATGATATATTTCAATGTACAGCTGTAATATTTCATGCAAAGGATGTGGAAACAACTGGTGGGTAGTATGGGAGACCGTCAATGGGTAGGTCTGATTGTCCTTATGAAACGATGTACTGGTTGAGTCGACTTCACATCAACGCCCCACAATGCCCCACAGCACATCGTAAACTCTGTCGAGTCTCGAGATCACATTGGCGTCTCACAGGCGCTCCACAACACATTCAAACCGTGCATTGAGAACATCTACCAATCACAATTACTGGAAGTGGGTGCAGATGTGATTTGATACTAGTCTTGAATCGAATTCTACTTTGATAGACCCAACATGACAGCATTCCACCATTTATTAATTGGGTCAATTGCCTCCGACCTGATTTTCCTTGAGGTCTATAATTACCAATAATAATAATAATGTTGCTGCCAAGGATAGGCCAAGGGCAACAAGATAAATCCGCTTCTTTAGCTGAGGGCTAATGTGTTCGAGGACTGTTGTGTCTGAAAGCTAATTTGTCCGATTTGAGAATGAGAGAACACATTAGAGGCCCCGGGTGTTATCTTAGGGGTGGAGTCTTTGATGGTCAAGTTAATCAAATGCATAAAGAGAGTTAGACGAGGTCCGAGGTGAAAGCTCAGACGAGGTCGCTCGAAAGCAAGAGAGCTAGAGAATAGAAATGAGCAAGGTGGCTCGAAAGCAAGAGAGCTAGAGAATAGAAATGAGCAAGGTGGTTTACCTAGAGAGGGGCACCTCTATTTACACTTGACTTGGCCCTGGGAGTGGTTGGCAGCGGACGACTAGGATTGCATCCAATCAATGCCATGTGGCACCATCCTGGGTCCTACCACATATGCCTATATCAAATAATAATAATTTAAAGTTTTATTTTTTATAATATGACTTAATAAAAATCACAATAAAATGATAAACTGATTATATGTTGATAAAATAAGGTGGCATTTGATAGCATTTTTCACACACACACATATATATATATATAATATAGCTTGGTTTTCAAACATTAGTGGTAGGGGTGGCCACGAGCTCGAGGTTCGGTCTAAACCGAGCTTCGAGCCGAATTCATCCCTAATATATAGGCTCGTTTGCTAATCGAGCCAAGCTTGAGCTCGAGCTTAATAAAGCTCGGTGTGTGAGGCTCGCGAGTCTAATATGGTATCACCTCAACTACTAAGGGAGACCTCGGCTCGGCACCTTGGCCACTATGGGAGACCTCGGCTCAACACTTTGACAATTGAGACCTCACCTCGACACCTTGACAACTAAGGGAGACCTCAACGCGGCACCTCGGTTGCTAGGGAAACCTCAGCTCGGCACTTTAGTAGTTGAGGGAGAACTCGACTCAGCACCTTGGTTGCAAGGTAGACCTCAACTCGACACTTTAGCAATTGAGGGAGACCTGCAATCAAAGGTAGCCGAGCTAGAGCTCAAGTTTATAATTCGAATCAGCTCGAGCCGAAAAAATGTTTGAATGCATTTAGACATGGTCTCGCATCTAATCAATTCTAAATGTATTTAAAAGGTTATGATGATAATTATTAATAATATTAAGTTGATAATAAATAATAATATTAAATAAATAGTAATATTATTTATTATTATAATTTTTATTAATTATTAAATATCATTGGAAAATAAATATTTTTATTATTTTGAATATTATCAAATAGTTTATTTCAGGGCTAAATTTGTAATTTTTGCAATTCCATAAATTGGAGAATTACTCCAACTCAAACCATCTTATCTTTTTAGAGCCTTTAAAAAGTAAAATAATTTCTACGTTTTAGTATTTAGATCTGAATAATAGCTTTTTGACTTTTCAAACATAGATTTCAAATTTATCAAACGTCACCTAAGTATTTTTAATCCAAATTATCTTATTGAAATATACCCTTTTGAACATAAAAATGTAACAAAAGTTACAAATTTTGGTTGACAGTTTGAATGGTGTTTCTTTTCCCCCTTGGTTGATTTGGTATTACTAACAAGCAATTCGCACTATTCCAATTTGATTCACTATTCACCATATTTATAGGAAAGGTAACCAAGTGGCAGATTCTTAATTTGACTATGTTAATTAAAAACTGTAGTTTTATTAAAAACTCTTTAGGTTAAAGTTCAGTTTTGCTTTTGTTTATGTTATTCATTTATTGCATTCCAGATATAATTGAACCAAATTTGGATCTGTTATATATATATATATATATATATATATATATATATATATATATATGTTAATTAAGTCAAATTCACGAGCTTTCAAACTAAATTTGTATTAATCAAGCTCAAATTTAAATAATTAATCAAACTTTTTTCGAAATTCAAACTTGACCCGAGGTTAATCAAACTTGATTACAAACTATTCGGTTAGAGCTTGATTTGATTGCAGCCCTATTTAGAACCTTGTCATGAGAGTTAATTAATTCTTATAAATTTTTTATCAACTATTGTTTATTTGTTGCCTGGACTTGTTTTCCGGGTGCATTGAATAAGAGCATATTTGGTTATAATGGGTCACTCTATAACATCTGTTCGATGTCATACATTCAAGTAGAAGAGCCATTATTTCTGTTTGGTTGAACTAAGGACTCCCAAGATGGGTTGAATTGATTCAAGGAAAGCACAGAAGTGAAGGAGTAAATAGATTTATATTAGGGAGAATGACGGTTCAGTCCATGGTTAGAATTTATAGGTTTAAAGTACTGTTGGGATAGATGTCAGTTCGGAATTGATGTCAATTTACAGGCGGGCGTTGTTGCATAAAATGTGGGTTGATATTTTAAATGTTTATAACTCTATAGTAAAAATAAAAAATATGCATTAGGCTTATCCATACTTTTCCATTTATATTAAGGAAAGCACAGAAGTTGCTTCAAAGGAGGAAATGGATTTATATTATAGAGCATGGTTGACTTGGGTTTGAAATGTAGTGGCTGGACTTGCAGGGGCATGTTTGTGGTGGATGACAGAGTGACAAGAGAGGGAGACCATGGATGGTAAGAGTTGATCAGCGAGGGAGTAGATGGTGGAGGCAAGAGAGGGGAGACGACATTGGTGTCCCACGAGCGCTTCACATGCGCATCTCAGCATGTATTGGGAATATCTTTCATACTTATTAGGGGAGATGTTTCAATACATGTTGAGATGTGCATGTGGGGTGCCAATGTGATCCTGGAGAGGAGGGTTAGGGAGAATTAGCCTCTGCATCCTACAGCACATCCCAACTGTCTATTGGAAACATCTTTCAATGACAACTACGGGAAATATTCCCAATGCATGCTGAGATGTGTATGTGGGGGGGCAATTAAGGCTGTCAACGGGTTGGGTTTGGACCAGGACCGACCCGACAGGAAATATTGAAGGCACATAACTGAATCAGACCCGATAGGGTTTATAATTTTCAAACCCATAATCGAATCGATCAGTTCTCGAGATAATCGGATCCGACCCAACAGACCTGATTGTAATAAATAAATAAATAAATACATATATATATATATATATATATTGTATATCGATTTCGAACCAATAATAATCAGGATATTATATCAAGACCCAGAACCAACCCATCGATTCCAATTCCTAGAACCAGAACCGACCCAATCGGTTCAGGTCCATCAAATTGAACCAAAACAAAATGAATCAGTTTTCAAATCCATTCCCACTCCCATCGCTCTCCCCTATTTTAATGTAACATTTAGGTGCTAATTGATCCCACAGCCTGCTCAACAGCATGAGACGTTCAACTAATCCGAACTTGAATCAGCCGATCCTGATTTTCTATAATTTGAGATTATGATTCGATTCATTCAACCTAGGGAATTGGGGAATGATATGCCATTTAGTCCATGCCAATAATGTGGCAATGTGCAAATCAATAATATTGTGGCAGTTGTATGCTGTATTAAATTATCCTTATCACAGTTATTTATACCAAATACATATTATTAAAAATCAATGGTTCCTCAAAACCTTAGAAATCATTGTTTTTTGAGGAAATAGTTTTGACAAAATGATTCTTCTGACCTAACAACCACTTGGTTGGTGGTGTTTGGTACTAGTCTTTTTTTGTAAGGTATCTTTGCCATGTCAACACAAAGTAGGCATTTTGCTCTATCTCTCACTTTATCTTATTTGGTTGAATGCTTTCAATCCGTTTCAAGCAATACTGAGTGTCTCAAATTTTGTGGGAACTGCATTGGAAGAAAACATCATTTTAATGTTTTTTGAAATGGAAATAATGTTTTCATTTTTTTATCTTTGTGGTGACTAATGAGGAACAGGATCTGCTCCTCACACTTGGGCATCTCACATGCAYATCCACTGTGCATTGGAAACATCTCCCGTGAAAAATAACAATGCATGATAGGATGTATGTGTGTGAGACGCCTTATTTGAGGAGCAGATCCGATCTTGACTAATGATGCCTAATTAGCACCAAATAACAATATAATATATACAGAGAGCTTGTAGTAATTTTGTTGAATTCCAAGGTGTCATGTTATCTAAAAAGTTGGCAATGATACGAAATACCACCTTAATTGTTTAGTAGCCTTTTTGAGTATTGGATGAAAACTTTGTGAGGCAAGAAAATCCTAATATTATAATCCCGAATGTATACAATTGAGTGCATTATACATGGCGTTTGGAAGTGTGGGCGTTTTTTGGGACCGATTTTCAAGAAAAAACTCCCATGCTTCAAAGACCCATTTTTCACAAAAAAAATGCTTCTATCACGTAGGCAATGAACAATACTATGCTGTTTGGTAAGGTGATTTTCATCACCGTTTTTCATGTATATGCTGACAGGTAAGCACCACATAGGATATACATCACTCAACTGTTGGGGGAAACAGTTCACCGATGCATGAAATGCCAAATTTGGCGTTTCATGCACCGGTGGGATCCCAATTTTCGAGACATGCCCGATTTTTAAATAATCGGGCGAACCAAACAATGAGATACATGGGCGTTTGTTGAAACGCCTATATGGATCCGACGTGACACCATTTTTTTGAAAAACGGCTATGGTTCCAAACATCCCCATAAAATTCGGGGTAAGGCTGCAAATGGATCGGATTGGATTTGACAAAGGGGATATTCGATCCTTTTCGATGATCCGATCGATCTGAATTCAATAAGAATCTATCGACTTTTCAAGACTATGATTAGAATTCAAATACAAATATATCTGATTTGATTTGAATTGTAATAAAAAAACTTAATGATATAATATAAATAATATATAATTATATAATTATATAAATAATTATATAAAATATACATATACAAATAATATAGAAATATAGAATATTTCATAACTAATCGATTAGATTAGCTCGGGATATATTTGAAATTGATTCATTAACTAAACATATTGATTTTTCCAATTCGATCCAATTTATTAAGATCAAAGGAGGTGTCCGAAAACGATTATTATCAGATCAAATTCGGACATGGTCTGACTTATTTGCAGCCCTAGTCTTCGGTTCTAAGAAGAAAAAATAACGATGATTAATAATGTTTTCCAATGTCATTAGTGAACCAAGGGGATTTTGTTTTTCTCAGTATTTTCAAAATTGGATCGGATAGTTGGACCGGAAAAATTGGGAACCGGTCATTTGAATGGTTCCGTTTCAACTTAAAACTATTTTTTTTTGCCAAAAGCCATTGGTTTGGTCAATGAATTCTTAATTTGGGCAGTTGAACCATCCATTCGGATAATGGTTTTTGTTTATATTTTATATTTTATTTTTTATAAGAATAAGTCATCCGTTCAGTCCAAATGATTGGACCATTCGACCAGGGAACCAGACCCAGAACGGTTCCCTGTCCAGTCAGGTTTTAAAAATCTTGTTTTTTTTAGTGGATTGGTTCTTTGGGCAATTCTTTCAGACTAGTCTAGAGACAGAAGTGGTTTCAATTCTCTGCTGAATGCTTTGGAAAGGTAGAAATGAAATTGTTTTCGGAAAAGTATGATCAGGCCCAATGCAAACTTCTGAATTCTGCTACAGATCTATAAAAATTCAAAATATCAAAACCCCCATTCTTTACATTAATGCCCCCATGTACTTTGGGCCTAATGCAGACTTCTGAATTTTACTACATTAATTCGGAATTGACACCTACACCAAGTATACTTTGAACCTAAAAATTTTGACTCTGGGCTATTCTCCCAATTGTTTTTGGTGGCCAACAGTCTAACCCCGTGGTGCAAAAATCTCTCTCCTCTACGAGTTGTTTCCTTTCCCATGGCCGGGGCGATTAGTGGCTGCAATTCACCGCGGATAGAAAAAATGGGTTCATCTATGGCTCCGCCCTCTGCCGAGCCCTTGGCTATTATTTGGTCAGAGCTGTGTTCTCTCCTGCGCCTTCAGGTCAATAGGTCATCATCTATGGCCCCTGTTAACAGTGGAACTAGCCAATAAAACCTTAAAGATGCGGGATTATAGGTAAAAGTATTCAAATTGTCTATTATTTTTTCACAATTTCATTCATTTACAAATTTTATTGCTCCTCTGTTGAAAAAATTTTAAGTGATTAATTGTCTAAATTCACCCATGTGAACAATAAGGTTTATAGTGAATTAGTTGAGTTTAAAAACAATAGTTCGATGAAATAGCGCCTACTTTCAAGTCCAYGGGCTAGCTCGGCATGGCATGACCGAGCGGGCCGTGCCGCCTGCGCCTCGCAGACCTGCATGGCCCAGCCCACAGCCCGTCCCAGCATGGCTCGTGGCCCGGCCTATATATTTTTATATAATATTATAATTATATAATAATATATAGTATATAATATATTAATAAAATATATATATTTTTAATTTTATTATATTAATTTATTTAATTATTGTATATATAAACAATTGTATATACAAAATTCATATAAAATTAAAATTTTAATTTTTTATCAAATTTTTTTAAATAAATAGTTATGGCTCGATGCACAGTCTGACCTGGCCCAAGGCTCAACCCACGGGCCAGCCCAGCCCGCAAACGGACCTGTATGGGCCGTATTGAACCAACCCCCAAATTTTTCACTAGGGAAGATGACACGGTCCATACTGACCTACGGACCAACACAGCATGGCCCACTTTACACCTCTAGATGTCCAAACATGAGAAATGAGTAAAGGCACATTTTGTTCGGTACAAAACCAATGTTTGTCCTCTCTTATTCATAAACACCATAAGTACAATAGATGGTTTTGGCCCTTGAATACATTTATATTTAGAATATATCTATATTTAAAACCATAGTACTAACTAAGGGCTTTCCCAAAAAAAAAGGGGTGTTTGCTAATGTATATGATATTGTTTAGTTTATGATGAACTTTTGTTTAGTTGGAATTCCACTCTTCCTGAGTTCCTGTACTCCAACTTCAGCTGCTTTTCTCCCTTCAGCTTTCGCCTTTCCGCTAGAGCCTAGAGGTAAGGCTTCTTCAGCTGGGCTGGGCCTAATCTGGATCTTTGTATTGTTTCTCGTGTTCTCGTGTTCTCGTGTTTTTTCAAAATGGACGGAAGAACACGATGGGCCTAACTAAATTAGCAAACCCTTTATACAAAATATCATCTAAACGATACGGCCCATGATTATGTTGACTTATTTTATTCATTAAAATAAGTTATTCAGTTCAGTTGTCACCAAGAAACTGCTTTTGGTAAATCTCTTTTCCTTTGTCCATACAAAAAGTATCTCCGCGCCACATTCTCTCACTCTGTATGCATCCAGAACCTTCTGTAGTTTTCTCTGCTCTCGAAGCTTCTACAGACTCACTCCCCTGCCCCTACACCTACACCTACACCTTCGTTTTATATCTATATAAACCCTCTTTCCTTCGTCCATCATTTTCAGAAGATCAACAGATTTCTCGTCAAAACTCTAGCTATCTCGCTTACAGTCTCTCTGCTTTCGGTTGAGGTCAGTTCAGGTGCCCAAATTCGCTTCCTCTCATCTCATGGCTTCGTTACTTGTTTGGAGGCGAGTTTCTGCTCCAAGCCTTCTCAACAAGTTCCTCCACCCCCCCCGATCTGTCGCCGTCGCTCCTTCAACACTAATGCTCAGTTGCGCGATCATGACGACGATGACCGTCGCATCGATGTCAGCCGCCGCTCCGACGAGCCTGTTTCCCGCCGTCGTGACTACGTTCCTAGCTTCTTTTCAGGTAGTTGTGATCTCAGTCCTTGTTCTTTTGGTCTATGTTCACCATTTTCTTATCGATGTGTAGTCTTTTTGATTTCTAGTTTTGGTTTATAATATTGTCTGATTGCCTATCGGTTTCTCTAACGTGTCTATTTCAACTCGGTTTTGCAGATGTGGTTGATCCCTTCTCTCCGACAAGGAGCTTGAGCCAGGTTCTGAATTTGATGGATCAATTCATGGACAACCCGTTCTTGTCTGCATCGAGAGGGATGGGAGCTGGATCGAGAAGAGGATGGGACGTTAAAGAAGACGAGAATGGTCTCTATGTGAGGATCGACATGCCAGGGCTCGGGAAAGATAATGTTAAGATTTCCGTGGAGCAGAACACCCTGATCATCAAGGGAGAAGGGGAAAAGGAATCCGAGGAGGAGGAGAGCGGACGGAGGTACAGTAGCAGGATCGACCTACCTGAGAAGCTCTACAAGACCGATCAAATTAAAGCTGAGATGAAGAATGGTATACTCAAGGTTGTAGTTCCGAAGGTGAAGGAAGAGGAGAGGAAGGACGTTTTCCATGTCAACATCGAGTGATTTGGCTGAATTAACCTGACGAATTATCGGTAGTGAGTTTTTGTAGAAATCTTCTCTTTACTTCTGTCGTCAGTAGTGTAGACATTGAGAAGAGTTTATACTTAATGGGGAATTGAGGTTTCTGCCTTTTTGGTTTTAACAGCGAAATGTAAAGTGGGTCTTGTGACAGAAATGAATAATACTTTGGTTTCTTTCTTGGCTTTATTTATCTTCGACTAATTTTGTTTCTTCCATTTCTATAACCGACTGAGCTTCGACGAAGTTACTGTAACCGACTCAAATGTCAAGTGGATTGGAAGATAACCTTCCGTAGTTCCTTTGTACATTACTCTAATTGAATTTGCACCTATGGAGGGAAATAAATTGACCACAGAAATGGTGGTCTGGACGTGGAGCTGAGTACTGGCATTATATGGTAAATATAGTAAATGAACAATGCTTAAAATTGCTTTCCATCCTCTTTTCCCCTGTATCTGTCTACGGCAAATATAAAACAGAAATAATTAACTGATGGAATATATTTGCATTTCCCATCCTAACTCTACTCCTATGCTATCGGGTTATTTGCCCGATCCGAGTTWGTCGATTCCGGATCTCCTGCCCACAAAACACTACCAGGAAATCCGGACTCTAGAGTCATGGATATGGGATTATTTCGGTTTCGATTGGCTCCAGGTGGGTTTCTATAAATGTGTAATTTGTCCTATTTTATTGGTGATTCTGTAAAGGGCATGGTACACCTCTCTAATCGGGTTATCGATCAATTTTTGGATTACAGGTTGAGTTGCTACTCTACTATCGTTCTATCATTTCATGTATTTTGGTAATTTTTTGTAGTTTGTGTCAGACACCTCCTTCTCTTGCTATATGCCCTGAGCCCCTGACCGGCTGACCCTTGAGAATATTCGCGGGCAAGGCGGGTTTGGGTTAGGGAGGAGTCGGGTCGGTTTTGGACAAAAGCTAAAGCCCCACCTAATCCTGTCTGTCTGTCCTCATCTCATCTCATCGCTGACCCTGATTCCGTGCGGAAGCTTCCTGGAGCAGAAGTTTATCCGATCACCGAATAAAATTTTTCTGAAGCTTCTGGATTGTACTAGATGTCTAGACAAGTTTGAACCTTATCCGAATATCAAATAAATAAATTAAAAAAAATTAGGGATTTTTAGATTGCAATTCCCCTCAGAAATGTGAAATATGACAACTCCCTCTTAGTCTATATATGCTACTGAGTTACTCTATTCAAAAAGAAAAAAAAAAAGAGATTGTTTAAAATTCACCATGATTTTTTTTTAGCATTTCTCTTAAATTCATTACAACTTTTTAAAATATCTAAAACTCACCATATTTACTAATTTGACGTTAAACAGATTAATGAGCGTTAATATATTACCATTTTAACCTTCATAGAAAAATATAAAATAAATTAACGGGTGAATATATTACCATTTTAATATTAGACATGAAGAAGAAAAAGTTCAAAAAAATATTTTCAAATATAAAATACATAAACACATAGAGATTATAAACAAAATAAAAAATTATTTTAAAATTATAGAAATTGAAAAACAAAACCAGAAAATAAAAATTGTAGAAAAAATACCAAAAATTTATAGATTTTAGAAAATAGAAAAATATAAAAAAGTAGAAATTATAAAAAACATTAAAAGTGCAAAAAAAAAGAAAATTGAAAACTGAAAATATCATTTTTCTCTAACTCACCATTCAAGGGTAATTTGGTCATAAAAGTTGTTATTTATGTTGGCATGGAYACCTCTATTAAGAAGCATTAACCGGTGCACTAATGGAAGGTGAGTTTTGTATAAAAACTTATTGACATGGTGAATTTTAGACATTTTGAAAAGTTGTGAGTTTAAGAGAAATGTTGAAAATTCAGTGAGTTTCAGACAATTTTCCAAAAAAAATAAGGGCCAGGGTCAGCATTTTTAGGCCCAAAGTACAGTTGGTGGGTGCCAGCTTGGAATTGATACCAATTCACAGGCGGACATTGGTGTATACAGTGGGGGATTTGATATTTTGAATATTTATAACTCTACGGTGGAAATAAAAAATCTACATTAAACCTGCCCGTACTTCTAGGGGTGAATTGAATCTTGCCGGATTGATGCCAAATTCATGGACAGTGATTTATAAGAGGGCTAGGAGGGGACTGCAATTTCAGATTTATGAGGTGGATCTCCACTTGTCCCAAAAAAAAATCGCCCTACTGACACCATGAGACTCGTGAAGGTGATGCTACAACACAAAAGAAAAAAAGTGGACATAGTCTTTTCCTGGGTATTTTCTAAAACTTGCATATCCATGGACCTAGCCCATGTGATTAATGGGCATTAAAATTAGACCCAGACCTGACCCAGGGCTTTAAAGTTGCCATCATAAGAGATTGAGATTAAACCATAAAGACCCAGAATTTAGTGGGCTTTTCTTTAATGGAGTTTTGGTTTTTGCTCGAGCTCCTTGTTTTATTTTTTTCTTCTTTTTTTTTTTTTTGGCTTCATTGACCCATCTTCTATCCCCTTAACTCTYCAACCCTGGTCTCAGCAGGATTTGATCCCGAGTCTCTGTTATAAGTTAGAGATTCTATTTCAGTTTTCTAATTAGGATTCATTTGATTCATATTTAGAATCGGAATTGGAATGGCCATTCCCTTGGCTCAGACTGGCCAGAATCTGTTTGGCTCAGACTAGAACTAAAATCGTAATTGGAATAAGCTGAAATGGGATTTCACTCGCAAGAGAGGGGGAGAGAAATGGCCATTCCCTTAAATAAGAAGAATGCCATTCCAGCAAGAATAGAAATATGATTCTAATTCCACCCAACGAAACAGTTGGAATTGGAATAACTCTAAGGATGCAGTTTAGGAAGGACCAACCCAAAGTTGAAATAACTCAGCCCAAAATCTTACACGTGCTGGGCTTGGGCCTGGGCCTAGTCCTTAGGTAGCCCAAACCTGGCCCTAACTTTATTCCCACTATATATATATATATATATATACTTGCATAAATATATACATATATAATTTTTTAGAGTGGATTCATTGGCCAACCCGAACTCAGCCCAAGCCCGAACCCAATCCAAATACATTAAATTACAATGTGAATTAAACTCGGATTAGAAAGGCTGGATTTGGTCTAGACTCAGGCCTTAGCCCAAATCTTAGGATTGGGCCTGGGTTGACCATAAATTCAGAGCAACCCGCCCAACTTACACAATTTAGCATACTTCTGTCCACTCTAATAAATGGGCTTCAAAGCATACATATTAAACCTCTTGACTCAGTTAAAAAAACAAGTTTAGCAGTTTAAACTAACCCATTTAAGTGACCAAAGCATAACATATTATATAACGTTTTCTTTATTCCTACGCCAGTAACTAAAGGGATGATAAGAATATTATTTAAAGTTTCCGTTTCCCCACCTGAAACCGGCAAACTTGTAATGAGTGCAGGTGAGTGATTTTTTTTTTTTTAATAACCACAAAAAGCCGTACAAATATTGCAAAAGCCAAATGCAATTGGAAACTTTGTTGACATTGATTGGACTTGAAATTGCACTCGGAGTTTGGTTGGTCGGCATTTAGCATTTGGTAACCCTTTTTTGTGTTGTTTTTTGTTCCGGAGACAGGAATTATTGTTTCCCCTTCTTATCTTTGGCGTTTCTTGTTATTTGTTGCCACCTAAACGCCCTATCCTGAAGTCAACAGAATGGGTAGAGAGGATTCCCTAAGAAGAGCTGCACGGGTGGGCCATTAACTAGATCTAACCTCTGTTTATATTATCAGAGAGAGAGAGAGATGTGTATGTAAATAATATAAGAAGCTATGCACTAAAGCAAGTAGAACCAAAGAGGCACAAGGAGAAAGAGGACTTGTTCTTCTTGGATTTGGTGGGAAAGTTCAGAAGCGCCATTCTTTCAGTTTGATCGGGGTCCGTTAGTGTCCCCTTCATGATCACTTGTTTATTGTGTACATCTACCACGTACTCCAGCAAACCTGTACCAACACCACCACCCAGAAACAAAATTAGGTTCTTGATTCATCAGGTTTCAATTTGATGCGTGTATGGAAGCTTATTGTCTAAATCACCCTGATCAATCTTAGAGTTCTCGGTCAAGGTGGGGTTCTATGTTCACCAAACTGATTGTAGGAATCACACCTGATTCAAARGTGTAAAGCCACAAAATCTTATATATAATTAATGGTTTTGATGACTTTTGACAATTGTACATTGTATGCTCCAGAGTGAGAAAAAGCTCTAAAGAAACGTAATGCCCTTACCGTTCATCTTGGAAATAACTTGGGAGACCCTCTGGCGACAATGTATACAGCCCATGTTGGCACTCATCACAACCACCTGAAACTGCAGAACATCACCGACCAGACGATCACAAAAGACATCCGAATGAGCTTACAAGATATATAACCCAAAAGTGAATCTGTTCAAAGATACAGGAAAATCAGCACCCAAGATGGGTGGCTTAAGAATTGACACCTCCTCATATGCCATGCCGCAGAGAGAAGCTTTGATCGGTTCAAAGCGCTGACCAGCGTAACTGGGGCGCTCGGAATGATCTTTGCTTCCTTCATTGAAGGAGCGAAATTACTTTCTTGCAAATGAGTTGTTGGATTTGGATTTATACTGGTTTTACAGCTGGAAACCTTTTGAGATAGCAAGGCAGAAGAGAGGCGGAAACAAATGAAAATGAAGAACAAGCCATTTTTTCATCTCGTTGAGTCTCTGTAATACTTCTATATAAATTTCGAAAAAAGAATGATTACCCAATAAAAACGAGGAGTGGGGGAAGAAGAAGTATGCTAATTTTCAACTTACAGGAGGGAGCGTTAAATTCTCTGCAAATCTCAGAGCTTGCTTTGTCATCGTCTCCATAATCGCATTTCACTCTCTCTCTCTCTCTCTCAGATGAATAACAAAGATTAGATTAGGCTCCTGTGTTTGACAATTTATATGGTATTATAGATGTATTTGCCGAGTTAACAAAGAAGTATTTGCAGACTCGTGGAGCTACAGAGAATTTTAGAATAATATATAATAATAATTAATAATAAAAGAAAAGAGAAGAACTTTCACCCTTTGAAGTTTCGTAAACGATCAATTTATCTTCTCAAGATGCTGTCCTCTAACTGTTCTATTACACGTATTGACGCATACATACATACATACATAACGCTAGGACAGCCTTTACTCTCAATCAACGGTCCACGTGGCGTAATATGTGGGCCACCTCTCTCTCTCGTTCTCTCTGAACCTTCTCCCTCACTGTTGGATTCCAGAGCTCTACAGTGCAATTGTGCAAAGTGCAAACACAAAAGGAATGGTGCCCCACTAACACTAACCGAAAGTTCCTGCTGACTGATGCAACAATAAATTGGCTTTTAAATACAACCTACTTTGATGGGGAACCCTAGTCGTTGGATCCAAAAGCTAAGCCATCAATTACTCAACAGTGATCTGATGGTATCATCAGATCGAATTATATCATCATAGCGAATACGTTTGAGGTATGGTCTGGTCTATGGGTTGAATAGTCAGTCCATTGTCCATTATGGCGTTGTTCAGCATTAATTAATAATAAACAAGGAAAACAAACAATACAGGGCAAGTTTTTCCCTTTTTTTTTTTCAAGTTATTTAATTAGAGATAAGCCGATTAAGATTAGGTACACTAAAATGGAGAAAAAAGTCTGGCAGCCTTGGCATGTTATAGCCAGCGAAAGCCTCCCCTAGCCCTGCACGTCATATGACAGACTATGGGCTTCACGTTCTCCTCATTACTCCCTTMATTCTTTATTATGGTATGTATAGATAAAAGAAAACCTAATACTCAACGGGTATAAGGATTAAGAAAGGTTGAAATGAAGATGCTTATAATTGGTTTCTAGAATTAGGTGAGACAACTGACAAAACATTGGATGATCAAAATATTATTTTGGGCTCTCTCCATCACATTTTCCTTTAGTTATTTACTATTATTATTTAATTGTTATGCACTTCATAAGATATATTCAGGGTTTGAAATTCATGTAGATTGTAACTATCTTTCCTGCTCACAATAAAATATTATCAAAAAGCATTCAGAAAAAGTGAGCTTGATTTCTTCTGTGAATGGACCACCYATAGGCTAGAGTCGGTCAAACTTTTTTGGTCGTCTGTCCTGGTGGCACAAGTTCATCCATAAACGGATTCATGGATATTAAATGGCTGCTTTAAGGGAACTGGCCAACCCGGGGTATATCTATGATCCATTCCAGTACGAAAAAGACCGCTTCCAAAGATTGTGAATTCGTGATGTTGGGTATCACTTGGCATATCACAGGAATAGAACCGATGGGGAAAACATTTGAGCCGTTTCATGTGAAAGCAACAAAATGCCAGAAACCGTACATTTCCTGTGGATATCTCAAAACAAGAGATTTCGAGGGGAAGACCCTGTTTTGGCCTCTCTGATTCATCACCATGAGACAATCAAAGTTTAAAATATCGATATATCACATCAAGGTTCAAAATATCAACATGTATTAGTCCATACTGGTCAATATTTATCATTCTAARACCCTTTTCATTCGCCTCTATAGTGAGTGTATCGGGGTCTAACCGGTTTAAGGGGTAAAGGAGCCCTAAACCAGCCCCCTAAATCGGTTTAGGCATATCAGGCATATTGATATGCCTAAAACACCCCTATTGACATATCGAGTGTATCAATATTTTGAACCTTGCACCCAATATACCGGTAAAGACGTATCAGCTGAATCAGTACTGCTTTTTATTGCTTTTTTTATTTTTTTTTTAACTAGTTCAAGAGGACCGATCTAAGGCTCCTCTATCCCCTGAACCGATCAGACCCTGATACATCCACTGTAGGGATATATCATAGAAGTCCTACATGATACTTTGAACCTTGGATACAACCGAAAATCAGCCATAAAATAATTAATAAAAGTTTAGATGGCAAATCCAAGATCCTTCAATAACCAGAAGCTTCAGTTTGGATCTTGGATTGCATAGCGAAGAATGTGCATCCAAGACTAACCAACGATTACACAAAACCATGGTTCTGACTGAACATCACCTCTCTCCTACCCATCAATCACCATCCTCTTTGACATATTTCAATATAAGTGGTCTTGTTGATGAAACGTGTTAATTAAAGGGTTTGACAAAATGCACTGAGAACAAGTGAATAGAATAGAATAGAAAATTAAAAACAGGAAAAAGCAGAATGAAGCAGCTTGCATCAGTATAAAAGCTCTCTCTTGAAACTTGAAAGTTAATACAACATAAAAACCGCCTAACTTTTGCGGTCCAGATACCTTAATAGAATGATATCACTTAGAGAGAGAGAGAGAGAGAAAGAGAGCATCAACAGTCCGCCTGATATTTACAACCCACCTACCCCAATCTCCCTACACAAACAAAACAAAGAATCAGGTAAACTTTCTATATCTCGCAAACAGAGAACGGAAAAGCATACTAYACCATAACCACCACAATAACAAATCTTTTGAACCAGGCTGGACCAAATGGCCCACCTCAGGTACGAGCTAAAAACATCACATCAGCTGTTGTTTCCTCATCAATCGTGCAAGTTTGGGCCACTAAGTTCAATCCAGAATCAAGTAAATTCAACAAGAAAAATCTCGATTAATGCAAGGCCCCCATACATTCCGTTACCAGAGAAACGTGTTATTCACATGACTAATGGAGAGAAAAAAATAGCATAGGTGCATGCTATGAACAAAATTAAGGCGTTATTATTCTGAGCCATCGATCGGATTATGAGAGATTTGACTTATACTGTAATGTAGCAGGAGACAAAGCCCTTCAAAAGGCTCATGATGTATCTACCATAAATCTATAATTGGATTTCGGAAAGCCCGATTTACAAGCTTATCCTCTCCCCCATGTAACACCTGATCCTGAAGTTACATCAGGATTGAGAAGTTGAAAACTCTTACACAGAAGAAACTGCTTGCAAAAATTTATTGCAATATCTCTCAACTAATAAACATACGGAAAAAGAGAAATCCTCCTCAACAATATAGAGTAATTTATACATCTACATACATATAACAGATTAGCATCACACGCAAAATGTAAATAGGCATGTATTATCAGGCGGATTTAAGTTCTTTGACAAAACACTTTGGATTTCCTAATTTTCCCCTCAACGTAATTTAGCTCATTAAATATAACACTGGTGTATATATCAAGAGAGTTTATACCGAGTATAGGAATAGAACCCATGAAAGAACTTTTTACCCATAGCTTTCATGCGAGTCACTCATTTTCCTAATGTCATTCAGCATTAAGAGGTGAGTGTAAACTGCATCCTACATCACAAATATTTTCTTTTGGGTGCAAATAGAGAAAGGCTCTACAGGAAACAATGGATACAGCAACTCCAAACATCTTCAAAATTTCAAATAATATTGATGTAGGCACACATGGCACGCCCAATGGAATAGGCACACATGGCAGGCTCAGGATGGCGACATGTGGCACAGGTCGGACCGCATCCTGGCCGTCCGCTCATAACAAACTCCAGGCAGGTTCAGGTATAAATAAGTGGCGTCASTCCTTAGGTAAGCTATCTTGGCATTTATTGCTTTAAGCTCTCTAGCTCCCTGGTGACCTCATCTGAGCTACTCTACTCAGGCCTCATCCGATCCCTCAGTACGCACTTACTAACTTGACCGTCGGAGTCTCTGCCCTTGGGATAACACCTAGGGCCTCTGACATGCTTCCCCCTCTACAGGTCAGACTTACAGGCCCTCGGCTCTATCAGCCCTTGGACACATCAGCAAGCCCTCGTCTACAGAAGTGAAAGTGCATTGTTGCCCTCGGCCCATCCTTGGCAGCAACAAAATTATATAGAATCTTTACTAGGGATTGATCACCAACTACCTTCTTTGAGTGATGTGGCCGAAATTAGCTAGGAAGTCAGCAGCTTTGTTCCCTTCCCTACAAGAGGTGAAATGTGATCAATTTGTTGAGATTTTTTTTTTTATTCTTAATGTGTCACCAAGAATGTTAACCATTGTCCATGGCGTTTAACTTCACTGCTTAGACAATGGTAAGTCTTGAGTCTCCTTCAATGATGATTCTATTATCTTCTACATTTCCGACCAGCTTGAGTCTTGAGTCTCCTTACACACCTTCAACAGGTGTAACAACAATAATTACCAAAGCTTYCATATGTAAAATTTTTCTTGTAAATAAATCAAAAAGAAAAATTCATTAGGAAGAAAAAAGTACAACAGAGGTGATAAGGAATCACCCCAAGGAGAGAAAAAGAAGCAACCCAACCCCCGAGACCAACCCTTACAAAGAAAAAACCCTCTAACTCCCTTACACTCTTAACCTCAACCTCAACCCACACTACTCCAACCCTTCCCTCAACCTAAAATTCAACAAAAAAAGATAAAACCTTCAAATAGAAGTATAGAACTACCTCCCCCTTCTACAACTGTTCCGTTCTTCTTCAAGAATTGGCCTCCAAAATCTTCAACTTTTCTAAAAATTTTTCTTGCAAATTCCTCACCTCTGATGAAATGTAATTGTAACCCCAAGACTTTACTCACCTCCACCTTCCTTATTAACCACCTCTTCCAAATCTAACACTCCCTAAACAACATGAGTTTTGCCAACTTTCACCTCTCTCTCTCTCTCTCTCTCTCTCTCTCTCTATATATATATATATATATCTATCTATCTCAAGAAAAACATCTGAATCCAAATCTCCTCTTTCTTCAACATCCTAATAGGTTTTGTTCTATACTTTCTAACCCGAAGGGATTAATCTGTGTTTTCCTTGCTCACCTCCCTGGCCTTGAAACCTTCTTCCCCTACCTCTTGTTCAGTGGCTTGACAATGAGTGGTGAGTCTGCTGACTTGACTATGAAGAACACCTTCAAACTCACTCCAGACAAATTTCTTGATTCTGGTAGAAAGAAAATCTGCAAACACCCCCATTTTACCTCTTATTTTATCTTTCGTTCTCTTATGTACCATTTTAAATTTATTGGACGGGCTAGAACCATGGATACCTACTTTTCGGGAAAACACTTGCCATGTCCACCAACTGACCAATTTTTGAACTATTCATCCTTTTCAGATTCACCTAAGTCTTATTTTTGCATTTATCTCCTTTTAAAATCGTAAGCTTGCAACTGTCCTTCCTTTTCCTACCTAAATCTTTGCCAAATCTCCCAACAACAATTTCTACAAAGTTACCTGGAACATTATCCTCCAAATCTCTGGCAACAAATTCTACAAAGCTTCCATATATAGATTGAAAAATAAACAACGAGGCAGGCTTCAAACTCAAGTATGATATCACCTATTCAGCAATGCTTAGACCTAGGGCTGTCAATGGCCTCAGTCTGTATTTAAGTCCTGATTATTAATAGGATTGGGATTGGTTTTACCTGTTTCAACCCAATTAACACCTAAACTTCTTTTATTTTTATAAATATTCTCATGGTTTACCTGTAATAACTTCATATAAGATGTCTAAACTTATCACCTAGTGGGGGATATATTAGATATTTTGAGAAGAGAGAGAGAAAGAGAATTAACAGGTTTATTATCAAAATACCAAGCTAAAGGCTTATCAAGTATAAGCCTGTCTTATTTGGTCAGACCAAATAAGCTCGATTAATAAATAGGGTCAGTTCTGGGTCTAGTAATTGCTAACCCACTAGATCAGGACTGGGTCTGTGTGTCTTATTGGGTTGGGAGCAGGTCTCCACACTGACCCTGCCCGGACCTATCTGAATTTCTTTAAGGAAGAATACACAATCCAAATCTACTAATTCATTTCATTTTGTCAGTTGCATATAAGAAAAACTGCACCAAAGAGACCATGAGATTAAGATAATACTAACTTCAGGTCTACTCACTTTACCCTAAATTAGATACTAATGCTTTGCTGGGGATTTCAGGCAACCTACTGAACTGGGGAGGGTCTTCACAGCTACAATGTAACCCTTTCCTTCAATAAACCAATAATTCCATGTTGTTGCCAGTGTTTTGAAAAGCAAGAGGCACAAACAAAGCACAATTGGTTCCTAGATTCTGAGGTTTGAGGCTAGGAGTGTGCCTGAACAAAGTGAGGCACCACTTATGAGATAAAAGTAGAAGATAACCAAATATAACAAGCAAGTCTAAGTTCTGAAAGAAATAAAACCTTGCTAGCTTAATTGGTTAGAGCATTGTATTATTAACATGAAGGTTGTAGGTTTGTAGGTTTAAGTCCTACATAGGCCTGACTATATAAATTCTAAAAATCCATTTATCACCTGGAACTGTGAAATGTTGCTTTCACCTTCTAGTTTTTGTTTTTCTTAGACCATGTAATGTTGTTTGATTCTACTTTCAATATTTAATTTGTTTATTTTAGACCACTTTTAATGTTTGGTAGCTGCTACTTCAATAGGAAAACTAGTTACCATAAAAGATGCTAGAGAAAAAAAATCTAAATTGCCTTTTTTTACTGAAAAACCATTGCCCAGGCATCACTTGGTTTTTGAAATAAGAAACAATCCCCAGGCAGTGCCTGGGCAGGTGACTACTAGTGACCTAGGTGACAAGGCACTCCCATGTTGCCTAGTCTCAGCTTAGTGCCATGATAAATATAGTAAGGCATAAGGTGAACACAGCATTGTCTCAGTGCTTTTTTTGCATCAGTTTGACAACTATAATTTAGAATTTAGACAAGAGGTGATGGATTCATCCTATCTCTGGAGCTTTTTCAAGGGAGCTCAGGCCTCCTTCAAAGAAAAGAGACAAGGAAGAGTAGGGTTTATGCACTCGAAAGGTATGTTGTATATATAAGGATTACATCACGTGGGAGGCTTTTCAGTTGTAACTAACTTGCTAACGTGGTCCTCTCACATATGTCTTCAGGTAAGGCTGGATGGGGGTCATGCTAGTGAGCCGATTAGTGGAGATCCCCGCCTTGACACAAACCTTATCCTCAAGGTTGATGTGGGAAAATTCTTTCTGAAGGCGAGAATACTCTTCCCAAGTAGCTTCTTCTTTGGGTAGGTTGTTCCAAGCAATGAGAGCTTCCTATATAATACTTTCCTTTACACAGCAGCAGAAATCGAGCAACTTGTGAGGCTCCATGAATAGAGATCCTTTGTCAAAGAAAGCTACAAGGGAGGCTTGGGTTTTCACTTTGTCTCCAACATGCTTCTTAAGTAGGAAATATGAAATACTGGATGGAGCTTGGAGGTGGAGGGAAGATCAAGTTTATAAGCAATGGGCCTGACCTTTTCTATGATCTTGAATGGCCCATAATACTTCCGTGCCAATTTTTCCATGCACGTCAAGCAACTGATTTCTGCCTGTAGGGGTGTAATTTTAGATGAACCACATCACCTAGATGAAACTCCAAGGG